TCGGCGAAGCCCATGGACTTTTCTACTCACGTACAGCGCCTGTGTCGATCATACCTGTGAGCGACGTATGAAGAAGTTTCCGCTTGTGAGCACCTATGGTTCTCGCATTGAACCTCCGGGGGGTGCATCTTTGGTTTCGACTCGGTGCAGTAAGAGATCGGGTTCCCCAGGTCTCCCCGTGCACATTGGCGAGAAGGTGCTGGAACAGCTTCTTTTGGGAGCTGCTACCGAGACACTTTTCCACCACCTCGTTGACTCTGTCTGGGAGAAAAAAAAAAATCGTCTCCCGTAAAGTTCCTTGAAATCGCGTCTCCAGAAATGCAGCTCTCTCGTCTGGTAAATGGCGGTAGCAAAGTCTCGTTTCCCAGCCGAAAGGCAATTGGAGCGAAGTTTAATGTCCCTCCGCCACGACAAAATCTAGGCCAAGGATCATGGGCACTGGTAATCCCGGCAGAAACACAAACCGTTGCCTTCGTTTCTTGTTGTGGAAAGAGAGCCATAATCTCACGGTGCCTGCAGCACGTAGTACAGATCCCGACGCTACCTGCAAGTTGACACCTTCTGTGTGGAACTTAGTCTTTTTCCTTTTACCAACCTCGAATACCGATCTGCAATAAGTGATAAGTTTGCACCAGTATCTAGGCGCGCGGGGATTGGAGAGCCGAGCACAGTAACTCTCATACTCGGCTCGATCGACTTAGTTCTGGGTTCAGTTCTACGTAATGCGGGGAGGAGTATTACCGGTTTTCCTGGTTGAGGGCGTTGTTGCGGTCCGAGGGGGGGGGGGGGGGGGGGGGCTGGAAAGGGCTTCTGGGCCATCGGCCATCCACAACAGCCTCCCTTGGTGTTGCGATGTCCGGACCGTCTGTGGTCCTTGAAGTTCCACCAAGGCCGCGCCTCGCGCCGGCTCATTTAAAGGGGACGGCGTTGGGATTCAACGGACAAGCGGACGCACCAAACGTTCCATGACCGAAACGGTCCGCAACGGACTACCCGCCGTCCGCCCCAACGGCGGACGCGCCGAGTACCTCATGATTGAATATGTACTCAGCGGCCTCACGAGATCCACCGCCATAAAGGGCGAGTCCTGGTTCTCATAACCGTGAGAATTCGGGGCCGCAAAGGACCTCCCGCCGGATGCCTCAACGGTGGACGCACCCGGCATCTAATGACCGAGACCGTACTTAACGGGAATCCCAAGATTCACCGCAAGATGGGAAGCGTCGGGGTTCTCATAATCGCGAGAATGCGGAGCCGGAAAGGGCCTCGGTAGGGCGGACAGTGACATTCTCCGGGCGGCCCGAAGGTGACTGCGACGGATGGAACTTGAGGACCGAGGTTTCCGCGTTGCCAGTGGAAACAGTCGCGTTTCCAAGGGCGTACCTTACTGAAAAAAAAATAATGGGGGAAACGGGTAACTCTCTCTGACTGACACTTTGTTTAGGCTCCTGGAATCAAATGCAAAGCCTGGCTGTGCTGTCCTTCTTTGTAGCAAGAACCACTGACGAAGTCCATGGGCTCTTTGCCCCACGTTGGGCGCCATTCTGGAATTTCCCTTCCGGCTATCCGTCTTGGAGAATGACACAACGCACTGGTTCAGCACACGTAGTCATCTATTCACCGTCATCGCCCCCGCCGCGATCCCAAAAGCCCATGCGCGATCCGGCGCATGGGCTGCGACGTACTTTTATCAGCAGCGGAGAGTAGCTCGCGTGGCCAATTGCACTTGGCCCTTCGCGCTGGAAATGGCCATATACAATTTCGCCTGCGGGCAACCTGTTCCGGAGGTGTAAATTCCCAGGTTGCCCACCATCAAAAGTACAGTTTAAATAACTTTCTAATCATGTAATTTCCACCAAATTAGACCGAAACAGCGTAATCGTTTTAGTTGGTTAGCAAGCTCAATTTTTTTTACTTTCGCATTCTGAGTTGATCGCCATGGGATATAATTTTTTAGCTTTTTTTCGTTTTTTTAACTTTTTGTTTTGATTTTGCTCTAATATGACGGTACGTACCTTGGACGAGGTGGTAGATACAAGTGAGGCTTAACGCTTCGATTTGATCAGAGCAGCAAGCTTATTTTTACTCATGTTGAGCCTTATATAAATTTTTCTTGCTTGATAAATTATAGATTTAATTGCAAAAAGAATCGCACAGAAACCATTGAATGACAGACAAACTGTAAATTATTGACATATTTTCGAGATCATTTTTCCAGAAAAGATTTCATTTAAATTATCGCAGTAAATCTGGTCGGATGCAAATCAGTGACTACGTCTAGTCTGCGGCATCATGGGAAGGTGAAAAAGCAACGAAGATACCTCCACTTCGTGATTGTCATGTTTCCTTTCCATTTTCCTGATGTAAAAGTTCATGAGTAAAGGGTTATTTATTTATAGAAATGAGTATAACCAGTGGGCGAAAAAACAAACACAATGGCAACAACAAAAGATAAAAAAAAATCCGTGAGCATTTTTGCCGTTTGCTTGTCACTTTTCATCTTAAGAAATTCGATTTTACGAAAGCGAACTCGGACTATACAGCGCGAAGCGCGGTCGCCCCTGCGTCAAAGCGAAAGTTCGGTGAAGCCCCCAAATGTGTTTGGGACAGCAACAGAAATAAATGACACAGATGTGGGTGGAGGGCGACGCTGAGACGCTGGAGGCGCTCCGAGAGGACTTCGGCAGCTACGAAAATCTTTTAAAGCAACAATGAGAAAGAAACAACAACAACAACAACAACAACAACAACAATAGAAGCATGAGGTTGAAAAGGAAGACGTGTTGATGTTTAAGAACTGGACCTCTCGTGCCATGAAAGTCGAGACTGCGCATCGGCGTATGGTGCTTTCCTCGTGCAACACAATTTTGAAAATGACGGTTTAGTCAGTAAATCGAAAGAAAATTGCAAATTTTTCTTCAATTTTGTTTCGTTTCAACTTTGGCGCATCGTCATTCCTGGGATCCAGTTGGCAAATTGCTTCTTTGGAGGACACTAAAAGAAAGAAAGAAAAGAAGATGAAAGGAGGTCAGGGATGGTCGCCGTATGTCTCAGTCTTTCAGTGATGAAGCACGAGCGCCATTCAAAACAGCTTGCACGACCCCCCACTGCATGCATTCTCGCCATAAGCCTGCCCAGTCATTTATAAACTTTCCGAGTTTGAAGCAAAAATAACGCTCGCGTTTCGTTCTTGTTTTAAATTTATTCAAAATTTCCCATGTTCTTCTCCACACACAAAAAACAAATCGAGTAGGGGAGCTCAACTGTTCACAAAACTACTCGCGGGGGGAAGCGTATGTGGCTTCAGTCCGCCCTCCGAAACCCAAACCTTTTCCGCAAGGGCGTCGCCATCTTGAATTGTCGTCACTTTTAGTATGGGCAACGTTACTAAAACACTCAGTTGGGAAACTCCCATAGAGACAGCTTTAAAAAAGTGGCCCCAATCTGTCTCCGAGCACCGAGCTAATGACGAACACAACGCCACCATGTTTCCCGCAGCGGCCACTCGAGGAACTGCACGTGACTTCTGTTTTGGCTTTAAGAACAGATACAGCGGAAGAGGTTACAGGGGTGCCACCCCCGTCTCCCCGGAGGACACGCCGCGTCGAACTACTTAAGTTAAAATGCACCTAGGTCGGGACGCGCTACCTGAAAGGCCCGCTGAGGCATGGTTGTATAAAAGCAATATTATTTGTGCCGCAAATCCCTGCAAACTAAAGATTTTAAAAACATCACGCGCCCCTCTTTTTGTACTAAACTCCAATAAATGTCATACAAAAAGAGTCTTTTCCGTTTGTTTTTACGCAAAAACAGGCTTTCAAAAAGCTCAAGGTGACCACAGTAGAGACAAACGATAAAGAGTGGCGCTGTTGTCGCATTTAGCTCGGTCTCGGTGGACGCCAGCGGCCCAGGTTTCGACGGCGAGTTTCCCAACTGAGTGTTTTAGTAACGTTGAGTATGGGCAACGTTACTAGAACCACTCAGTTGGGAAACTGCCATAGAGACTGCTCTGAAAGAGTGGCCCCAATCTGTCCACCAGAACCGAGCTAGTGACGAACACAACGCCGCGTTTTCTCCCGCAGCGGTCACTCGAGGAACTGCAAGTTACTTCTATTTTCGCTTTAATCGGCCACTTTGGTGCCGAAACAGACACAGCGGAAGAGGTTACAGGGGTGCCACCCCCGTCAACCCAGCGGACGCGCCGCGAGCTACTACCGAAGTTAAAATGCACCTAGGTCGGGACGCGCTACCTGAAAGGACCGCTGAGGCATGGTTGTATAAAAACAATATTAATTGTTCCGCAAAACCTTGCAAACTAAAGATGATAAAAACATCACGCGCCCTTTATTTTGTACTGAACTCCAACAAATTTCATACAAAAAGAGTCTTTTCCGTTTGTTTTTACGCAAAAACATGCTTTCTAAAAGCTCAAGGTGACCACGTACAGACAAATGATAAAGATTGGCGCTGTTGTCGTATTTAGCTCGGTCTCGGTGAACGCCAGTGGATCAGGTTTTGACGGCGAGTTTCCCAACTGATTGTTCTAGTAACGTTGAGTATGGGCGAAAACATTGCTTTGCCGTCGCCACGCCAATAGACGGCATTTAGGACATAAACGTAACCGTCACAAATTCCCGTTTTCCCTCCCCTCTCTATTTTTACTATTTTCAGGTTGAAACGTCTTGATATTTTTTCGTCGCCCATACCGGATACGCCTATTAGGTGGCTGGGGACGAGAGTACACGAAAAAAGGTACATGCATTATGAACCCCCCCCCCCCCCTCCCCCTCCGCAACCCAAATCATAAACAACCAAACACCCCCCACAAAAAACAAAACAAAAAGAAAAAGCAAAAAAAAAAAACAATATTACAACAACAAATTTTGGTTACGTTTTTGGTTTGCGCATATCACCGTGCTGCCATCTCTTTGTACGCTGCAGAACTAGCCTCGGAACTTTTTCATCGCATTTCTTGCCTCGAGAGTGCACACGATTCGAGCGGTTTTTGCGCATACAGGTTTTCCGCTTTGCGCGTTCTCCCAATACCACCTCGAAGACAAGGCCTGCCAATGACGTCATCCTTAGTGGATCTCCGGCCCGCCCCGAGTCGCAAAAGACGCTGAAGCTCAACGGGAGAACGCCGCAATACGGCAGACGTGTCCGGTGTGGCGTCACCGCCTGCTAGCGTCGTGCTCATCGTGAGAGGATGCGCGACGACGTCCTGGCTAGGTGGCGCTGCGTGGATTCACTAGAGATGCAAGCCTCGTTTTCAAGGTGGTCTGGTTCTCCTCGCCTTGAATATAAAGCAGAGACTTGATCGGCGATAAGTAAGCCTACCTTGGTTGCTATCTCGTCACTTTCCTCTTGGCATTTTATTGCATATATTCGTTCGCGTCGAAAATACGACGAAAGTGTTATGCAGCTGCCAGTTGAATCGCGAACGTCCTGCCGTATACGCCTGTTTCTGCTGCCCCAACGACGTACATTTCTGGACAAAATTAGTTTTTTCGACTCCATCTTTGGACGCTGCGGTAACAGTAAGTCCTAATTGTTTGTGTTTTTCGCCTCAAACCTACCCCAGATAAAAAAAAAAGTTTTTAGCATATGCAGTGCGACGGGGGTCGCGCAGCCACGCAGGTTTATCCGAATTAAAAGGTTCCGGTGGTGAGACATAGGTACCTTGCAGGTCAGCGTTTTAAATAACCGTGTTGCTAGATGTGCACTGCCACGCTCAAGAGAAAAGTTCGTTCCCAAAACGAATCGAAGCGATTGACTGGTAAATTGATGTCACTATTCTTTTCAAGGTCATGCGTGACTGCATTCAGATCTTGTCACTTTAGTGTGTCGTCTGGGTGCTTTATACTTTGTTTCACCATGCCTGAGAGCGCAGTCGATGCCTATAGAGGCGTAAGAAACCAGAAAAAAAAAAGAGAAAAACGCACAGTACAAAAAACACGAGGTCATGGCGCGTGCTCTGCGCTTGATTGTTTTTGGTGGGTGATCAGTAGACGCATGCACTGAAGGAGGATGTGATTTCTGACGTTGAGATTTTTGCTCTGTTTGGTTGGCGTCATCGCCTTGGAGCGTTGGCTGCGCACTGATTGAATGGGACATGAAGTGCTCCAAAGATGGCCAAGGGCAGCTTTGGAGTACAGTTGGAGGCTCGCCCCTCTCGAGTATTTGTGCAGCAGTGGCAAACCCCGCTACCTTGTGCACTTAGACGGAAGGCCGTTCTAAGGGTTGTGACTGCGAAATCATTCGCCCGATAAACTAGGTCGAGTGTGTTCTTATATGCTGTTACTTACGGCTTAGGTCGAAGGTGGGAGGTGTGCCTCGGTAGAGATTAAAGTAAACCAACGGGCGATAATGGAAGGCCTATGATAAAAGCATCCGGCTGTATCCTTTCAAACAGGTCTCTGACAGGATTCCTATGAAGATGGCCCGTGCTTTGTGAGCGCGGATATCACAGACGTCGACGTGGCCTCTGAAATTCCTGAGGAGGGATGATCGTCACCGTCGTCTTGTCAACCTTTTTGGTTCTTTTGGCCATCAACCTTCTAAGGTGAGTTGATACAGTTAAATTAAATTTGATGGCGTTACTGGCCAAACCAAGGAAGGGCATCTGGCATGCCCAAGTGGAAGACAGGTTTAATTTCGAGCACCTGTTTGATATTTCGACATGAAAGCGAAAGCTCGGTTATAAGTCACCTTCTCGGCAATTAGCCTCTATCAGATTGCGGGCACCTCGGCCAAGATTCGAGCCCGCCCCCTGGGGATCACTAGGTAGGTGTTGTTAAATTGAATGAAGGGGGGTCTGCCAAACTAAAAACCATACTGTAAACTAGACACTTGAAGGCTACAAATAGGTCCAGATGATATAATGAACATTGACTCCGTGTAGTTATTGTTGCTATCCCGTAAGCATACACGTTTCTCTAAATTAGCCTAGAAGAGAGGCAGTGCTATATTTCAGAAATTCGGTGGATAAGGCAGATTATGAATTGCGCAACGTACCAAAATACGGGTAGTGTACAGGCGAGCTGGTGGAAGTTCGCTATAATAACATTAACGCAAGACTGGAGTAGAAAAAAACAAAGAGAAATTAGTGTTTGAAAAAAAAGTAGAAACAGACAACGTCTCGAACTCAACTGATGCGTTTATTTAATCATCTTCCTTCTATACACAGATCCACAATGCCACCAAACCACTGAACCGCATGTTTTCACGGACACAAAAAGTTACCACGCTCATAAAAAAAGAAAAAAAAAGAAACATGAGTGAACGAATGCACTTAGACTATTTCTCTTTATATCAAGTGGTCAGAAAACCTCAGAGTTAATAGACAAAGAAGAAGATGGAGTATTTTAAAATAAGCTGTCGCCTGGCGAGGCACACAAACAAGGCTGCAAGGTTAACTCGCAACGGATGGCTTTGCCAAATAAAATGCGTCTAAGTCTAACATTTTTGCCAGTGACGATATAGTACGAAAAACGACTAAAATACTGTCATGAGTCAATGAGTTCTAGACGCTTGTTTTTGTTTGAGGATGTGAACATTACTTTTCCTTGGTGATCAGCACAAATTGAGTGAAGAGCTAAGTTCTCGCCCCCAGGAATTTTCTTCTGAACTGCCGTTAATGAGACGCGCTGCAGCGTGCAGAGAGGACGGGCTTTAATAAATTGGTGATATTCGCAACTCCAGCCCGCTGCTCGCTCTCTCGCGGATGAACGGAGAACCAGAGGAGCTGGGACGGCAGCGGCGGCGACGGCGCGGGAGTTTTTGGTGGCTGGGGCTGTCGGCCTTGATGGTGAAGCTGTTTTAAGGAAAAAAGTGAGCGCGGTAAAATAGGAATTCGTGTGCTCCGCCTTACAATAGCGTCGCTCAAATGACCGGAATGTCTAATTCATTAGGTACTTTTCGTATATCGCATATACGCTGCAGATTTCTGGTCTTGTGCATGGCCGCCAGCTCAATCTGAAACATTTGAAACATTTCTTTATTTCCATCAATGATGGGGGAAAACCAAAGAAAAAAAGCTGCTATTTGCAGCTTGACCGGCCCTTGGTACCCCCACAAGGCGAGCAACACTAACATAAAAAGGACATCAATCAATAGAACAAAATTAGCGAAAAAAGAGAAGAAAGAAATACAATAAAAGGTTTGTTTTAAGTATTATACAATGCAAGGGATATCATTCCTGCTCACTGACATAACATAAATTCCTAATCATGAGATATGATTTAGTAGCTCGGAAAGTGCATGTTTAATTCTTTGACGTCCAAAGTTAGTTTGTGATTCTGGTATATGCCATGGGCGTATCTGACGAGTTTGACGAATGGAATCGTGCAAATGAAGCTCAGAAATGGTGAGAAATATTTCGTATGTACCTTTCATGGCAGACTGGAATGTTAATATTAATCGTTGTGAATAAATGTTTGAAACGTCAAGTATAAAGTACGTTTCAAAGAGAGGCAAGGATGGGGAGGTTGAAGAGACATTAGCTACAGCTCGTAGTGTATTTTTTGCAATATTCGAAGTTTAAATTCGTTGTGCCGGTAGACCCCCACACCACATGCGCGTAGCATAAGATGGTATAGAATAGTTATTTAAAAAGTGGAATTTTGACTCTTGTTGGTGAAATGTTTCTATATTTATTTATCACACCCACTATTCTAGAAAGTTTAGTGCGAACGTGTTTAATATAGTCGTTCCAAGACATGTTATGAGAAAAAATACACCAAGAGGTTTTCTATTTTTAACGTATTGAATAATATCAGTGCCTAATTTCAGAAAAGAGGATGAGGTTGTTTGAGTTCTGGAATTAAGTTGGAATATTATAGCCTTGCTCTTGCTAGCATTTATATGAAGGAAATTTTTTATACACCAGGATTTTAATTTTGAACGGACATTATTTGTTTTGCTAATAGGATGTTCCCTATTTGAATCAGAAATGATCACGCTTGTATCATCTGGATAAATAATAAAATGTCAACCAGAGTCAGTAGCAACTATATCGTTTATTTAAAAGATAAATAAAAGGGACCTAGAATGCTTCCTTGGGGAACACCGCAATTAATGTGAAGGAAAGAGGACCTATGCTCGTTTACGGAAACATATTGGCAACGGTTCTCAAAATATGACCTTAACAATGAAAAAGGAGCACCCCGAAAGCCATACGAAAATAGTTTATCTAAAAGTATACCATGGTTGATGCAGTCGAACGCTTTACTAAAGTCAAGGACGACGCCAACCGTTGTTAACTTTTTTCTAAATTGTCTAAAATGATTTCTTTTTGGTGCAAAAGTGCAGACTCGGTAGACCTAAATTTTCTAAATCCAAACTGAGATTCTATTAATACACTATGATGATCTGAGGAATTTGTAATACTTGAAGGCATGAGCTTTTCTAAGGTTTTTGAAAAAATAGGAAGAATGGATATTGGAGGATAGTTCCCCATACTATTTCTATCTCCTGACTTAAACAGTACTGTTACTTTTGCTATTTTCATGCCTGTGGGAAACACACGCGACGAAAGACCAAGGTTTCAAATATGCATTAAACAAGGCACAATGAGGTGGACAACGAATTTCATGGGCTTAATGTTTATACTATCAGCATCGCAACTGTAATTGTTGCTAACATTATTTATCGTCAAAAACTTCATATTCATCGGTAGGATAAACAAATATAGTATCAAAAACTCTGGGTATATTTTGTGCTGCATCACTGAGTAGGTACCAGACCCGACGTTCCCAAAATGACGATTAAAAGCATCTGATAGTGCAGAACCACACTTTTCTATCCCATCAATAAATAATTTTTCTATTCTATCACTGTTAGTATTTTTGCCCAAGAGAGTATTAAGTCTTTTCCAATGAAGTCAGGATGCTTCATACATTCAGAATCAAAAAGTTGGTTATAATAGTTCCGCTTCTCACGCCGCAAATCTGCGTTCAGGTGCTTTCTCAGTGACTTAAATTCTGCTAGTTTCATCAAGCTTCGCGATATTAAAAAATGCTTTATATAAGCGAGCTTTGACACGCATTGATTTTAAGTGACCTTTAGTAACGCAGGGTTCGCGGGCACGTCTATCAGTTCTAACCAATCTTAATGGAAATGAAGACGTATAGATACTTTTAAAAACCTTAATAAATTTGTCGGAGTCTTTATTTATATCATTTGTCACTATTATACTGCTCCAGTTCGCGCTCTCAACGTTTCTTCTAAACGCCTGCAACGCTTTATCATTAACAATATTAATGTACCTGGCGGGTTGAGCTGCATTGACCTTCGTTCTAACTTTGGCGTTTTGTTTATGAATCAGCATGAATATAGACAAATGATCACTCAAATCTAAACACATTACTCTAAAAGTAATATTTGACCTATCATGATTTGCAATAAGGAAGTACGTGGCGCTGTTATGCACGTGGGGAGAGATATGACATTCTGAAGATTATGTGCGGTCAGTAATAAAAATAACTTCGACTGATTACGTGATAGATCAAGAAAATAAATATTTAGGTAACCTCCAAGGATGAAATTGCATTTTATTTTAGTCATAGAGCTAAACAACTTTTCTAGAAATTCAAAAAACTTGGACAGATTTCCATATGGTGGGCGGTAAACAACATAATGCACTTCAAGGTTTTTACGTATGCCTAGTATTTTGTAATGACCTGTAATTGCTGAGTATTCGAAAGCAATATCAAAACCTTTGTTTGTCATCGAGATGGATATACCACCCCCGCGGTTTTGTTTGCGGATGAGATAAAAGTGTTCATATCCCGGTAAAAAAAAAACATCGTCGTCATCGCTGTACCAGGTTTCAGTGAGCATGATGATATCGAACATTGGTTGAAAAGTGTTAAAAAGTAAAAAGAGGTAATCGTTTTGAGATCGCGCTGACCTAACGTTAAGGTGAAAGAATTTGAGACATTTCTTGTCAGTTTTTCCGGACAACGCGTTCACTTTGTGAGGGCGGTAAAATGCTCCGCCATCGAGAATTGTGAAGTTATACAAAAATACAGCAGTCATCGAAATATTCTACGCCAATTCCTAATTTTTTCAACATCACCCAGGCAAGTGAGGTTTAGTACATGTGACGTCTCATCCTTACGCGCAAATATTTTGCCACCAGAGGACAACACAAACTTTCACACAACCCTTCTTTTCTGCGCGATGGCCGTTCCCAGCAGTTTCTTGTTCAAGTCTGTCAAGTGTTCGTTTACATAAACCGGTGACTCGGCTCCGCCAAACCCAACAAATGCAGTAAGGATCCGTTTTTTTTTGGCCTTTTTCAAAATTTCGTTCCCTTTTTATTGCTGGATGAAGCGAACAATTATATTCTTTTTATCTGGCATAAAAGTGGCCACGCGGTGGCATATGTCAATGTCCGCATCCGCCACTGGTACATCAAGAAGGGCGCCGGTTCTTTGTGCTAAACGTGACGGCGAATTCTCCCGCTATACTTCGTCTCACCTTACGATGGACTAAAGGCAAAAGCTACGGACCGCGAGATCCAATCACGAGCCACTTAAAAATTGTGCGGTATTTCGCTTCGGTGCCTGTATCGGTGCCCGCGTCTCGAATCACTGATGAGGGGACGGTTGGACTGTGGTTCGAATCAAGAGCACTAAGTGACTCAGAAATTTTACATCGCAAAGGAAGCCACGACATATAGGCTTTTTGCAGCGTCGAAGCTATAGGAATGATGCTGCGCCTTGGATTCGAGCGTTATTCGTCCACCCCTAATCAATGTTAAGCGTGTCATAGTATAGCGTGGAACGTGATTGAAACTGGCGGCCCGTGGCTTTGGCCTTTAGTCCATCGTAGGATCAGACAAAGTATAGGAAGGTAGAACTCTAGTGTTTGGTCTACAAAAAGTCAATTCTATCTCCTAAGCAGAAGAAAAATGGCCGCGCAACGATATATCGAGCAATACACATCGGGAATGGAAGCGCCTTTTAAGGCCCTTACAAAGAACATAACCATTCATTCCAAGCAATTTAAAAGACAGAATACGCGTACTTGCTTTCAGGTAATTACAAAGCAAATACAAAAATGCTCGACGCATTTTAAGCTCGTCTGTGTTAGCCAGCCGTTTGTGGCGAGAGCTTAGAACGGGCAGTTTTGGAAAAAGGTGACACAACGTTGCAAATATTACGGTACAAAAAAATGTACGGTATATAAAAATATTTGTTTCTGATAGAGCAATAAATGAAACTTCTAAACACGCCAATGACGTTAATAAACAAATTTAGCATAGCGTTAACGCAGGCTACTGTTGGCTACCGTGAGCACGGCAACGCTCCTGGCGTGCGCTGAAAGTTGTGCTTCAAAGGCACAGCGCGAGCTTCTGGTTGTAATTTTGCACCGCACGGTGGCCTGCGGTAGCAAACGTTCTATCAAGAACCATAGAAGAGTTTGATCACGTGTTACATTACACTAAAACCGAGACGGTAAGCAGCAAGTTGCGCGCCTGTGACACGAAGACATCAATACTGTGAACGCTGCTCTTCCGAAGCATGACGGTCACAGTGCGCGGCTCATTTTTTAGAGCACTATTGGACAGACAAAGTGCAAACACGATATCTTGATCACCCTCAGAAATATTCTCCCTCACAGAGTAACGTTGCCGGTGCTTAAACCCCCTCGCCCACCACAAAGCTTCGCAAGTTGAGGTTTCTGCAACTTTTAAATATTAGCATGCTCGTTTGGTTAACGCGCATCGACATCTCCGTCACGTGTAATATGTTCCTGCCCTAACCACTTCGTATTTTTAGACAAATAAATCATTTTTAGCCCACTGACCAGCCCAGCGAATTGGCGCACGGGAAATCCTGAAGAATCTATTCCCGTCTCTTCCGCCATCTTGGAATTAACGCCCCGCCACCTATAGGGCATTGGAGTTGCGAATACCGGGGGGGGGGAGAAAGGCATGGGGGGGGGGGGGCGTCTTCTTGAAAGTTTGCCAATTGAGTTGATCTGTTAATGCTTGTAGATAGTAAAAAAGACACACAATAAAAGGTGCTTGACTGAACTGAGGACTAATCTAGCTGGCTAGGTCATCGTCTAGTGGTGTTGAACTACTCATAAGGAAGAGAAGAAAGCGAGAGAGAAAGAGAAATAGAGCAGGCAATACTGAGGCGAAGGTGTTAGGTAATGTCAGCGGGAATGTTCTGGCAAGATAGTGGGGGAAATTCTTGAGATTGCTGAGAATGCTTTATGCGAGATATTACCCATAAAGGTCTGTTTAAATGATCGTCTTGATCAAATTTGGATAGCCTAGTTCAAATACACATTCTGCTCGAGACAACCGTCAAATAAAATTAGCTGTAACCAGGATTTTTGAAAAATATTTGAACAAAAGGTTTGTTACTTTTAAGTTGTTTGTCGAATATTCAATATGTGTAATAACCCTTCATATGACACTATCTGCGCACGGAAGTTATTCAGGGTGTTTCAAGAATGGTGGGTAGTTTTGACCTTAGGGTGCATGAGACGTAAAGCGATTTCTACGATTCTCTGCAAGCTTTAAGTATTTAGATTAAAAAAACCTAAATATTTATAGGTAAAGATTGACAGATTTAGCAAAAATAACCTCCCTCCCTCGAAAAAAAGAAGAAAAAAGTAAAGAACAAAGTCATACGCGCCATGAATTTAGCAGTCTATTTGTTTTGCAGATGGAGACGAAAAACGTTTTCCTACTTCAAAGACCTTGGAATTCCTGGACCCAAACCAAGTCTGATTTGGGGAAATCTTTGGGAATACCATCAAAATGTAAATATGGCTGCTTACTCGAAATTTCGAAGCCGTATGCTATTGCGAAAAATAAATGCTCTAGAAAGAAGTATAATTTAAGGCTAACACTTCATGACAAGATCTTGTGTTCGCTCTTGATTGGTGTGGAGGTTTGGACTATTTATTTTTTCGTGCATACTTGCTAAAAATCTTTTTCTTGGCAACGAGTTTATTACAGTAAGTTTATATAGGCTATTGATAAGTTTAAGAATCTGATTTTAATTATATTTAGCTCTTTAAATTATGTTTATGAAGTTCTGCAATATCCTTGGAATGTAATTCTTATTAGTTAGCATGCGCTGAGCATAAACCGATGTAAAGAAAATGTACAGTGAAAGCACGATCATTTAAATGGTGCATTTGTGTCTCCGTGCCTATTTTATCCAACTGCCACGTGCAGTAACACATGACCGCAATATGAAGTGTAGTTTACTGAGGGGTATGTCTAGTCGGCTTTTACGTGGTACTAAATATCATGTGAAGAACAATCGCAAAAATGTATGGGTGTTTTTGCAAATGCTTAAAAAATCTAGACAACTAGGGTGGTTAATAAGAGAAAGAAACGTTTTGTGAAAAGCCCAAAAAGTCTTTTCTGTTCTCAACCTTGCTATTTGTAAACATTTTTGAACCAATTATGAGATACACCCTGTATAGAGGTCCAGCAGCAGCGTCCTGTTTAAGCGCTTCGTCCTCTTGTTCATCGTTTTTGTTTCTGATTTTCTCTGTATGTCACCAGAATGTGATAATATCACTAGAGAGATTAGATACCAAGCAAGCATGGGTTAGATGGCACGTTAACTGTCAGATACACATACAAATTATTTAGTCACAAAAAAGATTTCGTATAGATTTGAATGTATGGTTACTATACCCTGATCACAAATTTATGGTTATTTTCAGTGGCTAAGATATCAACTATTCAAAACAGTGCTATCGAACACCATTACACTTCATGACCCAACTTTAGTTTGGTGACTGTGAATTGATATCAAAATACCATAATTTAAACTACATAATGGCAATATAAAAATAAAGCCACTCACATTGCTGAGCATTTCGTACCACGAATGATGTCCTCCAAATATGGTTAGATGTGTGTCGTTTGATACATTATTAGATTAACTTTCAAAAATTGGATCTAGGTCATATTTGCTTGAAGGTGTCGGGGTGTGCCTATTCATTAGTTTTATCAACATTAATCGACTCATATAGTGACCCATACTGATTGTTTTACTGACAGGGGTTGTTCCGAGCCCTGGATAAGTGGTGCAAGGAATATGGTGATATATTTGGGTAAGACTTTCAATGTAATAAATTTTGGAACAGTTAGAAATATAGGAAAAAAGTGTCTGGCTTGCTGTATTTCCTAATGACCTAACGTTCGGACACGTACATTTGCTATAACATCATAATTGTTTTCATATTTTTATCTTGCTTTTAGTGCGCAAAGTGTAATGGAGGAATTTAAACATTTTGGAGCGTATGCTTTATACAAGAAGGATTTTATGATACTTCCGCTTAAGAAAGAATACGTAGTTAACAGGCTCTCCAAGTTAAGTTTGATAAAAATGGGAATATTTGGCAATACTTTGCCAGTATGGGCTGGTCTTTCTATGATATTGCCATATTTCAGGAGAGTACATTTACTCGAAGAATTTTTATTCGGCCGGTGTGGGTGAATCCATATTTCACTGTCGTATTTAAATGAAGTTAATCCAACAGGGATACATTGTTAGAGTAAAGCGTCTAAAAATAATTTGGCTATCGCAATAGCAATAGTATCTGAAATTATCCTCTTTGCCATGCTTCGCTCAAGCATATACCGGTCATTGATTTTCTTTCAGCTTCTACAATGGAGATGTTCCAATGCTTGTTGTGAAGGACCTTGAGTTCCTGAAGCACGTCTTTATTAAAAACTTTTCGAATTTCACTGACCGTGGCGTGAGTGTTGCTTTTGCTATTAATCCTACTGCCGATTTTTTTTTGCAACTTAATTTTCCGAATTTACTGAGTGAATTTCTATTAAAACCATGGGCACTCTTCGGTTTTTCTCCTTGTCGCTTAATAGAAGAAATGTTGAGTTAGAGTGAAAGTAAACAAAATAGTGTATAACTTCCTAATGACCACTTTCGCGCAGTTTTACACGAATTGCACTTCCCCAACAATCACTTTGTTAAGAATCTGCAGAAAAACTCCAAAGAGTTACGGAATCACTAATTAAAAGTTCCAGTTTTATATTAAAGAACGCACGGATCTCTTTAAAGAAGAAGCAAACAAAAGGTCTCAGCTCAGAGGCCCAGATAGATGGCGCCGATACTAGCCCCAGATGTGTATCACAAGGAATGGCTGAGTTGGAATCATTGTTATTAATATAGTATATAGGTGATTTAGTTTTTTAAGTAAGGTCTCTGAAATAATTAAAGCTCTAGAAATTTAGTGACTATTTCCTCTTTGTACTGATTGTGATGCTATATCGATGACATCTGGTTTTAAAAAAAGGTTTGTTAGACGTCTTTTGGCAACATCTGGCTACAAAAGCATTTGAGGAGTATGCAGTTTTTATTCCGAGGCTGGTTTACTTATCTATGTTAAATAAATACTTGGAAAAGTTTAAAAGAAGACCGTTTGTGGGTCGAGGAATCATCCTGGCACCCAACTTTGCACGATGATACCCAAGTAAAAATTGTTTTTAGGTTATGTCCTACTGATTACCCGAAACTACGACACTGCCGAGTTTAATCGCATCGGTAAGACATTGAAAATTTCAAAGTTTTTGTCATATATTTAGTAAAAAATGCAAAACCTTTTGTGAAGGTAAAAACAAGTACGGTAAGCATAGCGCTTTGCAAGTTCCGTTTAAAGAAGTCCTTCCAATTTTGTTTTTTATTTGCATAGCCGGAATTAGGAGGAAACTGATGAGTGAATTGGTAGATGAGGAACGTGCACTGACATTCTAGAAGGCCCATGTATGCCAAGTGTCTCCAAACAGAAAGACATGGCAGCGCTTGGTGGATTTATTTATGTTTATTTTGCAGATAACGATGAGGACCGATGAAATGCACCCATTTGTTGGAAATGCCGTGGCTCATGCCAAGGGGTCCCACTGGAAAAGCCTCCGGCAGAGCATCAGTCCTGGGTTCACCAAGCTCAAGCTCAAGCTGGTACGAGACACGTCCATTGGTCATATGCACATTTAAGCAAACTACAGTAAACACGTAAAACTATTGTTGTCACTTATAAACAAATTTAAAAGATTTAAACAGGGCGAAAAGAAAACAAGAAGTACGACCAGAATGATGAGGACAATACAAAATATAATTCCAACCGGCAGCTTGAACAGGTATTGCTGTTTCTCGAAGAAGCCAATCGCCTCAGCGGTAACCTGGCTAAGGAGGGAAGGTAAAAAAAAAATGAAGAAAAGAGAGAAATGAGAAGGGTCTTTGTCGGCGAAGTGACGCGCGTGAAAGTTTGGCATTAGCCCACTTATTTGGGCAAAAGTTGGCTAAGACACAGAGAAAGAAACACACAGCAAGAGAGAGCGAGAGAGAGAGAGAGAGAAAGAGAGAGAGAGATGCAGAATAAATAAAGGTCATGGGAAGAATGCGAACTATAACATATTGTTGTCTAGTTTTATTTCTAAGAGGAGTGAAAGAATAAGAGATTCGTTGTAGATGTTTAAGAGCACTATGATTATTAAATTTGAAGATAAATTTAGGGATAATAGAGCATTATGAATCAGAATATGGCTGGGTGTATTTAAAGGCCGCTGTACAAACGGGACGTTCTGCAGGGAAGAACCTTCTCTCCCGAAGCTAGAGACGGAGAGGGAAAGGGCCAGCGTCGGGTGGAAAGAGCGTCTAGAGAATGGGATTAGCCTCGGGGCGAGCCATCCTCTCGAGAGGGAGTGGGGACGGAACAAAGCTGACGTGGGGGTTCCGGCTACTAGATGGAAGATAAGCTTGTCAAACGGCGACCGCGGATGCAAGGACGGGCACGCCAGAGAATTTGAAAATAGCTGCTTGATTAGCCGGAGGACCCACTGCGGTCTACTGGGTCTAGAAGGTGACTCGGATGAAGAAAGCTCGTTTTGCTCCAAAACTCTAAAAGAAAGTGAACTCTTGCCACAAATAAAAATAACACATACATGAAAAACTACGAAGGCACCTAAGCTTTCTCCTATGATGGGAGAATGCGTGAGCATTACAGGCAGAGTTATGTTGGCGCAACTTGCAATAAAGAAAGAAAAAAAAGTTATGTTGGCGCAACTAGGCGCAACGAGTAGCGCGCTAGTTTCACGATCAAGGGGGCCTAGCTTCGAAACCGGGCAGGGGATGGTTTTTTTCTCGTGTTCTTTTTTTTATTTCGTTTATTTTTTTTTGTTCGGTCACGTGACAATAAAAATCACATGAACAGAATTTTTTTTGGCCACGTCACCAGAGATTTTTTTTATTTCTCCTTTTCTTGTCTTTTTTTTCCCCTTTTTTTCGGTTTACGCTCCCTCTTGCAAAACTCTTTGCACCTATTTCGCGTTACTTTGGCGTTAGCCAAATCATTTTATTTATGGCAGGGAATTCTGCCGTACGTATCTTATGTTACTATTACCAATCCTGGCTTGCAATACGCATAGAGAATTTCGTCCGGCAACCAGTTTGGGAATGACGAGGCCAAATGTGTTATAATTTGTTTTTTTAGGTATAAGCATAATTTCGGCCTCGTTATCCGTCGGTCTCTATGATTGGCTCTTCAAGTATCTTTTGAGAAGGCAGACGACTGGCATTTTTAGAGTGCACGTGTGTCGACCAGAGTGAACATTGCTGAATCGCCTCCAGTGTGAATTTGGCCGTAAATAACTGGAGGCCCCGGGCAAACCCACCCAATGTAGAAAAGTATCTACCTTTCTGGTTTCATAGAGAACTATGAAAGGGACGAATCCCAGCCGAGTCAAACTACCGGCTTGCAAACGCAATCGTGTTGACAATAGCTCCAAGGAGTTTGTATGACTCTCTCTGGCGGTGTGCAGAGGGTAAAGGCACGGAGGTAATATAAGCTTTCGCCTAGTCACCTCGCAAACGGTTGGGTATTGGCTGCAGAGATCCATTTCGCTTTGTTTTATTACCGGGATTATAGCTTGATTTATGTTTTCCTAATTTCACAGACAGAACGAAATCGCTTTTCTCGTGTGGCGTCACGGCGGTGAGACAGAAATCAATCAGTGTACCGGAATTCGACGCTTGTGCTCGTTCTATAGCGCTTCTAAAAACCGTGCGATCACGGCTGTGCAACGTCAACAATGCATAAACTACAGTTACTTGTACTCGGATTGCATCGTGAGGGAACGACTATGACTGGGTAAACAGGAATAGGGAGAATGGGTGCGTGTGATTTGTTGAAGTTCGAATCAACAAATCAAGCTTCAACGAATGCGATAGTATTGCATTCACTCAACCAGCTATATGAGTTTTCAGACGGTATATACCTTCCAAGTATGCGATTCGTGTTCTGCCAGTGGTACCTCAGCTAAATTAAAAAGCAAAATCCACGTTGAAAAAAAAAAAAAAAAGTTTACGGTGACTCGAGCCGCTCCCGCGCCGAGTCATGTTTCACGTAAGCGTAATCTTGGGGTCGATGCACCGACGAGGGGTCTTCAATCATAAAAATAGTTTGATTACGATTATTGGCAACGCTAAAAATTTGGAAGCCAAGCAGTGAAGACAACGGCGTTCTTATAAATATTATATACATATTATTTTACACTGTTTGAATACGCTGCCGTCGTTATGTTCTTGAATTATTGGCTAGCTTGTGGCGGACAGGGAAGTCTTGCAGGACCATATGATAGGACCTACACTAAACCTGCCGCGCTTCGAAAAATGTTAGTCCAATGCATACAAGCTTGTTCAAGGCGGACGGAGCGTTGCGCATCCGGCAGAGCGCATTCGATCGCTGCCCGCGGCGTTTTTCTTTTTCTTTTTTTTTTTTTTTTGAGCAGCGAAATAATTTTTGGTCAAGCAGCAGGCCCCCTCTTCGGCGGGTTGTCCCCTCGGGGGAGGGCTAGGGTGCCTTCATGTGCGCTTCGCATAGGGTGATGCCAACTGCCTGTTTCCCTTTCCCACACCCTCGTCCACCGCCATTTTGTATCTCTCATTGTTTCCCCGTGTGCCGGAAAGTGGCCTTTGTGTCCACCGGTAATCCCATCCGAGAGGGAAAATGCTAATCCTCCCTCCGTGGGTTCCACAACGCTGCTCCGAACTTCTGAGATAAGGTGCTTGTTTCCGGGAGGGTTATAAGCCCCACGGATTATCGCCGAGGAACAAAATGGCTGCTGTTTTGTCGGCGAGTGGTATTACAAAGGGTGGCATCACCCTAGCAAAGCGCACATGAAGGCTCCCTAGGGAGGGCGGTAAACAGGTGGGGGAGGGCGGTGAAGGAAGGAAAAAAGGGCAGGAGAGGAGGAAACGCAGAAAAAGTGGAAAGCGCGAATTGTACGGCGGCCTTTAAGCGAAAATGGCTGGTGTATTTAAACAAAAAAAAAACGTGTATTATCACAAAAAGGTTATGTAAAAAAGATGAAACGCTTTTCAGTTATGTTTCAGCGTTACACACTTCACAGTGTCACATACTTCACTAACTACACCGCAGAGGGAAGATCTAAAACAAACATAAAAAGGGCGCTCATAAAGGAACTGTGCCCGCGAATAAGTGATTGTTAGCGCATCATATCTTCACTACGGGAAATACTGAGGCCATGGCAATATAACGGGGACAGCACAACCACGAACACTTCGTATTTTGGTTGTTTCTTATTTGAAACGAATCTGGGGATATTTGGCAATTATGTTCAATTTACACCAGCTCGTTTGCGGTCTTACTTTTTGTTCATGTCGTACCAAGCGAGCTAAGCTACGCGACTCTCCGGAGAGCAACTGCGGAAAGTGGAGGGTGCTTCACATCCCATAAAAAGTACGGGTGTTAAAAAACACCAAAAACAAAAAAAAAAGTTTTTATCTTGGGGTAAATGGACTATTCATCGCAGAAAGCTGGAACGTTGTGAGGATGTGACGCTAGCGTTTGGGATAGAGCGCGAAAGTTTGAGCACATGACGTTAGCTGGATCCAAAGATACTTTAGATAAACAATGTTTCTTTATGAGTGGACCCCCACTAGTCTAATACACTGTAGACCAATGTGGGATTAATGGCAGTAAAGAACACCTGTCAACAAGAAAAATAAATATTGCTCTCTTTCTTGCTTACAAATTGTTTTTTTTTTTTAATACTGAAATAAACGCTGTTGGCGTCCACAGTGCTATTTCTTGTTATGACAATGTTGAGCTTAGCTGGACGTCAGTTTAGAGAGAAATGTCTTATTTCTTAGTTATCTTTTGATCCAAGTAACGTCAGGCTCTAAAACTTTCGCGTTTTAAGCTATACACTAGCGTCACATTTTCACGGCGTTGGAGTTTTCTGCGATGCACACTTTATTTACCAGGACCAAAAAATACGGCTCTCTTTTCTGGGGAACGCCGTATACCTCGTTGGACTAGCCGCACTATCGGAAATTTGCCGTTCGATCAAAACATTCTCTTCTGCTATGCCTTGGTCAGCTTGACCAATCTCGTGTAATTTGTATCTGTCTGCCTAGATGATGGATCACATCACTCAAGTTGGCGACGTGTTTATGGAAGTTCTCGGCAAGAAAGCCGACCAGGGCCAAGAAGTCTGCATGTTCGAGGCGACGCAGGCGCTCACGATGGACTACATTGGCCGGGCGGCGCTCGGAATCGACAACAGTTTTCAGAACGATCAGAAGAATTCATTTCTCGTGACGGCTCAGCGAGCCTTCCGGGAAATCATGACCGGACCTTTCCACATGCTGGCCCGTAAGCTTGAGCTTTTTAGCGATAGCGTTATTGGGAACTCTGCTCAGACCTCGCTTGAAAGTGTTGATATTGGTCGCACCGTATCAAGACCATGGGAGAGAGTCGGCAACATAGTGCAAAGGTTGGCTTGACGGCATAGCACGTACTAGCAATGGCGTTGCGCCGCGCATATAAGGGAGTGTAAACGGGGTGCTAACGTTCCCTTCTAATCCGGTTTCCTCCGTTCCGTAGGAACCGCGTATTTGGGCAAGTGCGCCTTCATTGAATTGATGTAATGTCTACACCAGGAAGTCTTTTTTTTTTTCAATTCTTTCTTTTCAATAGGCTTTTCTAAATCCAGTCAAACAACATTGGGAGTCAACATTCTCATGGGCACCAAGTGCGTCATTTGATCAGAGTTCTCTTCGAACGCTGACCCAGCCTTTGTGTTCAATACATGTCCACTGTTCGTTCCAAATAATGGCGGACCCGAATATTTGGCTCAGGAGCTCTAGAGTGCTTGGACGTTTAAAAAAAGGGTCTATTGAGTCCCCAAAACTTCGGAAGTCATTGGGCTGTTTTCTAAAGACATATCATTCCGTTTTGCTTTGTCGATCGGTATGGGTACGATCGATACGATCGGCAAACGACATGTACAGGATAGCAAGGGAAACTGCGTACAGAATAGCAAGGGAAACTGCTTTGAAAATTGCTTGCTCTCACTGAAACGCTTTCGCAAGCACTAAGGATGAACGAAGTATAAATGTAAAAGCTTCCTTAGGGTGACTTTGTGTTTAAACTATGCGCCTGCTGCGTTAGAACTAGAAAAAAAAAATGCACAAAAGGGGAAAAAGAATAAAAAGTGAGGCCCTTCGTTGGACTCGCACCTAAAACTATGCGTGGATTACCGCCAGTAGACGAGGGCCCAGACCACCCGGCCACTATGCATACCCAATTTTCGAATGTTTAGAGCATTTATAAACATGTTTTGCCGATTTACGCCTAGAACCTGTTTGTTTTTCGTTTAACTGAGAAGATTGCGATCTTTCTCGGGCAGAACGTTACCCGCAGATCTTCAAGTACACTACAACGGTTCATTTCGGCCATATTTCCAGCCTCGTCATCCTGTTTCGGTGGCGAATTTGCATTTTTGTGGTCGAACCGAGGACGCGTTTTTGCAGACGTAGTTGAATGATCGAATCGGTCGTATCCGTACCGACCGTAGATGCAAAACGGGTTTTTATATCCATCAATTGTTAAGCCCCGTTCCGCTTCACGATGTACAGCAGCGGACCCTACGTGCCATGTCAGCCAGTCTGCTGTAATCCCCGCGCACCACGTGACTTATAGTTCCGCGGCTCGCTTCGTCCAACCGGAAGGACACGTGCACCCTCTGACGTCAATCCAGTGCGGTGGCGCTGTTGTCGGCTCTACGCATGCGCAGAGGCGTCACTTCTACCCGATTTGTCTAATGAGCACGTGCAGTGCCCACACTTGGTGTGGACATACTCGGGCTTGTTTGTAAACAGTGTGCTGGTGTATGCGGAGCGAGAGTTTGTCTGCTTCTTGCTCTGCGGTTCGGGTCACAACACAACGCCGAGCACTGATCGGCTTTGACTGAAGAATAGGGGGTAGGCCTTAAGGCAGGTTGCTTCGAGGTCTACCCACTACCCTTCGATCAGAGCCATTCAGAGTTCGACGTTCTGACTTCATCACAACCCCTGCAAAGAAGCAGACGAACTTGCGGTCCGCATAAATTAATTTCTTTCGGTTGTTTGTAGCGTCCGCTGTCGGACATCTCAAGATTAAATTGTAGATTGCCAACGTTTCTTTTGAACTTTTGACAACATGGTGACAGAACGCGACAGTTAAGGATGGCGTATTTAGGTTAATATGTTCCTGTGAAATACACTTACACGCGATTTTAAATTTATATAAAATCAGTTGCTGTAAAAAAGAGTTAACCTTTCAAATTCTTGTCTCCATAAGAGAGTGTGACAGGAAAATGATTGTCTACCTGTTCTTTTTTCGACTTTGGTGCATATATATAGCGGAAGGTTGTTGACATTCTTAGGCATCGTTAGGGAAACAGAAGTTCTAGGCACATGGGAATAAAAATGTTCCCAGACGTACATGTTAAACAAAAATGTAAAACAAAATCCTAGAAATATTCTGTGAAATAAATTTTTACTCTCTTCCCGAGATTACTTAGAATGCCAATATGGTGAAAACTGATACCCCTGCAAGGACTTCGGGATCCACCAGAAGAGGAATTTGAAAATAAAACTGAATTAAACACAATACATTTCATTAATGCAAAATGTAATTAAAATACACGTACTCAATTTATTGTTTTACGGAATCATCACGTGTTATTAATGTATTTAGTGCAAAGGTGCAAGCGAGTTGGACAAGGCTAACGATAATAATTCCTGAGGAGGAAACAAGGGGTATGAAGTAGAAACACAAATCTCCAACCACAGTGAGGTGACTGGTCCTGGTCCTGGTATTAAAACCACGAACCTCTCCATTGCCAGTGGAGCGCTCTACCAACTGAGGTAATCAGGAGTCAGCCGTCACAAGAGCAAATGGGTTTTAACGGCTGCCTCCCGTTTGCTCTACTGACGTCTAGCTTTTGGGCAGCTCAGTTGGTAACGCGCCAGTCACCTAACTGAGTATAGAGATTTGTTTTTGTCCTTTGTCTCCTTTGTTTCCCTTCTCCAGCGATTATTATCGTTATCCTTGTCCAGTTCATTTACACCTTTGCATTATTGGCGTTATCATCATAACCTTAATATATAGGCCATTCGCTTTTGTTGGTGTTAGACTGGTGGCAGCTGTTAAAAACCGTTTGCTCTACTGACGTTTAATTCCTGGTTAGCTGCGTTGGTAGAGCGCTCAGCTGAAAATAGAGGTATCTAGTTCGATGCCAGGACCAGGTGGAGTTTTTCAGTGGCGTAGCAGTCATTCGATTGTGTTTGGAGATTTGTGTTTGTCCTGTGTTCCTCCTTGTTCCCCATTTCCAGGGATTATTATCGTAAGAACTATCACGAATTTGAAACCGGGTGGCTAGAAAACGCATGCAATTGAGGAGAGGTGCGTTCTGCACCCTTATGGTACGTCCTAAACTCAAAGACCCACGTTTGATTTTTGTCTTTGTCACTTGCGTTTATTAAACTTATATCGTGTTTTAGCTACATCATCCGGTTTTAGCGACACGGAATTGAACCTTGAATGCGTATGCGAATGCATATACGTATGCGCGGCGCGCGTATGTGGAGCGAAAGCACGCACTCCTTCACGTTCACACCCTCTTAAAAAAACATGACGTCCTCGACGTCGTTCTAGAGGTCGTCCTTGAGCTCGCTCTAGACGTCGTCCTTTAGGACGTCGTCCTCGACGTCGTCGTAGACACCGTGCTTGACGTCGTCTGTATGACGACATACAGAACGACATCTAGGGCGACACCTAGGGTGACCTTTAGGACGACCTCTAGGACAACATCGAGGACGAGGTCCTAGAGGTCGTCTATGAAATCGCCCTTGAGGTCGTCCTAGAGGTCATCTTTGACGTCGTCCTCCAGTACCCGATCACCAGCACAAAACAAATGTTTGGCACAGTCTATTTTTAGAGTGCCTGCTCGACTGCAAGGCCTGCTTCTACTGACGTCACGGCACTGAAAAGGGGAATATATTTGAATTCTGGTTTCTGCAACATTTTTATTTCCCGATTTCACCGCAACTGCAAGGAATTTTGTGATTCTAATCAGTATATCCGAAAGGGAAAACGCCGAGGATTCAGAAAATATAGTTAGTTGGGGTAGCTCAAAAAATCGCCGGAGTGCCCCTTTAGACGATTACACAAAGACAGAAGATTAGGCGATTAGACAATGACGAAGCAATTACTCAATTTCGAAGTGGTGCGCTGCGGTCGCGCTGAATGTCGATAATTGCGTCGTAAACCATTCATAAAGTAAAGTGTCTACTCATCATACTCGTCGTCGTATTCCCAAGGAGCTGCGTGAGGAGTCTTATGGCGAATGTTATGGCTATTTATAGACAACCAACCCAATAGTGGTTTCTGCAACCATTTTTTTTTCAGACTGCACGACGTCGTTCGGCGTGCTGGCTGCTCCGATCTTTTGGCTGAACTGGACATTTGGGACGTTCTCATTTATTAGGGTCTCTGAAGAAGTGGCGAAGGTGATCGAGCTTCGCAAGAAAAACCCAGAGGTAGGTCTGCATCTTTTATCGCAATTTCTGTTGAAGACTGAGCTTGAGAACAATGTTTTTTTAGCCAGTGGCCCTTGTAAAGAAATCTCGTAGAAGCATCGCAAACTTCCAGGAAATTGCATTTTAATTTGTTCTGACGAGCTCCCATTGCCTTAAGTTCTTGAATATCAAATTTTGCGTTAATTAGGAAGAAAAATGTTTAGAATTATCTTGGGAGTTTTGATAAACTCAGGGAGCACGCATTGTGCCGTGCATGCATTATCCGTACGTTATTTGTTCTACTTGGTTACGGGCGATTTTTGGTGGCTTTGGATTTGTTTCATAGCCGACACGCTTATGTACTTCACGGGTTTACCAAAGTAATTGAGACAAGGTTTTATGAATTGAGGAGTGGGCCAGCTACGCACACGCACTCTCCACCTTCTACCACTGGCTCACACGGGTCATGGTTAGGTCAGCTTCTTTTCGACTCTGCCTTATGGGCCAGAGCAAAAACGATGAACTGCGGATCGCATGGCCCCTAGTGTGATTTTCTCTACGCCGCTTGGTAAATTCTGTTAATGTAGACTAAGTATGCACAATGTAATTAGGAATAAATAATTATGATTAAAATGATTATTTCTGGTGCTATGTAGAACTTCTACATGATTTTTATGCTTATGACTTGCCCGCAATGGGCATGAATGCTTTAGAATGCCTTGACTTGCGTATTTTCGTATGTAATCCGGACCTTAAACATATTTTGTAATAAAGTTGTGAGTGCGAAAGTTTTGAATTTGATTTCGCGCTATGACTTCAGGCTCGTTGTTTTCGTCATCCCACGAGCGAATAACATCAATATATGATTGATACCCTCAAATAATGCTGCGATTTAGACGCTTGAATTGGTCATGCGATTTTGTAAAAACAATCTTACAAGTAGATCTGTAAAAAATAGAATGAAAATAAAGAAGTCGTTCTTCGTAGACCTAAGAATGTATATACATTTTTTGTTTGTTTATTACGAGTTTCGTTCACGGTCATTCTGAAGCTCGACAAAAAAAAAAAAATTCAATCCAAGATAATTGAGAGCGGGGTGTACGTTCTCATTAATTATTCCACAATTTTTTATAGCTTCGAAGGAACGACATTCTCCAGAATCTCATTGATGCGGAGTACGAGGAACAGGCAACAACTCGGACGTCATCGGATAAAACCACGAACTCCAACCAGAAAGGTACACGGGAGGATGAAATATTAGTTTCATTAATCGATTACCAAATTTATGTGGTATACATGTGCAGTGAAACTCACATTCGCGCTGGAACACCGATTCTAGTACCACATTTGTTCGAAGCTTCAGTTGTCGGCGATAGGTGCATATTGAGAAGTGTAGAAGGCTACTTGAATATCACATACTAAAGCGTTATGCCAGTTTTTTTCTTGTATATACATAACATTTATGTCCACATGAAAAATTGGCTGTCATTTTTCTAATTTTTCCAAGCAATCACAAATGTATTGTAGTGCCTCGCTCTTGATTCTTGAACGCCAGGGATCAATCGCAATAGAAGTGCCCGATGAAAGTTGACTGAAATTACCCCTTTTTGGCAGATTTTTCTAAGACCAGGACGCTCTCATCGGTAGAAGTAATCATGAACACCACTGTATTGTTCGCTGCAGGGTGAGTTTGATTACTTTGATTTCTTTTTATTTTATTTTATTTTTGTCGCTTTAAGGAACGCACCTTGCTTCAGTCATGAAACTACAAATGTTAGACCAAATGTTCAGCATTTGCCGGGATTTTATTTGGTTTCATTACAAAAAGTGGCCCTGCGTATTATCGATTTTCGTGAACTGTCATGCCCTTTTATGTGCACGCACTCCCAATACTATCAGCTTATAATCTTATTAACCTGAGTGCTTCCCTCCATTAAAGAAACTTATGAATTCATTACCAATAATCAGGTCATTAGACTTGGCCTAATAATTTTGTAGCGTTATAAGATAAATGTGTGTTATTCAATGATTCTTAATATTAGCGATAATATTGGTATACTTCGTGAGTTAGAAACGAACTCATGCTGGATGTATAATTTTAAAAGAGGACTGTTGTTTAAGATATATTTATAGTTTTCATGGTCTACTGTGCAATCTCTAACAACATGAAAGACCAATCCTACGAGGCAGTTTAGTCGGCCGTGCTACATTAGTTTTGGCGAAGCCCCCATTGCTATGAAATATGTAAATAAATAAATGTTTATTCTATTCCCCTCTCTAAATATAGACTGTCTCTAGCGAAAATGTGCTTAACACGACCGTATAAAGTGCGTGTTCAAATTAATTGGTCTGTTGTCTTTTTGTGTAGACTGTACTTTATGGCTACCTTTCCCAATTTACTATCTGTTTCGTCGAAAGAATGCTCTTCTTACCGGACGAAATCAAAACGTTTAAGTGGAAAATAGTTTATAAACGTTAAAGTCAGGATATTCTTGAAGTACTATCTTTTTTAAATACTGAGCACGTTATTTGATGGCTCTTATAAAAGACTGAATTATTGCAAAGAAAGCATAGAGATGTTTGCAATGAGTTTTGGCTTGTCACCCACAGATTTGAAACCACCGCAACAACTTTGTGTTATCTTATGTTCGTTCTCGGCAAATACCCGGATGTGCAAGAGAAGGTTCGAGAAGAAGTGAAAAGGGCAGTGGATGACTCTGTAAGTTTTGCTTCTATTTGAATATAATCTTTAGTACTTGGTCATTGTTCAGGTATTTCAGTGAATCTTGAAAGGTCGTTTTGTTTAAACTCCATGTTGTGAAGCCGATTTCGTGTGGAGAGATGGCAATTTTGAATATGGGGTGAGACGCCATGGACTACCTCTTTTGTTTCGGATTTCATGTAATTGGCGGTATTTCGGCGTAAGGCCGGTGACTAAGCCACGTTTAATTGTTTATGCATTATTACCACTAACTTGTTTTGAGTTCGCTTTCACTATTATCTAAGGCAGGAGTCTCCGACCTTTTTGGCTAAGGGGTCGAATTTGGGATCTGTCGCAGACTCAATGGCCGTAAAGTATAAAAGTAATTAAAACTTAAAATGAGCTAAATAAATAAACCTAGAAAGGGGTTTGAGTTGAATAAAACCAATTTGGAGTTTGAATATTTTGAAGTTGTTTAATAAACATGAAATTCAGTATTTACTTAATTATGACGTACAGTAGCTGTTTGCGGACTATTTATTTATTGTACTTTTCCGGTGCCCCTAAACAACCCATAGGCCTACATAAGGGTGCACCGTTGACACCTAGATGCAGTTTTGCATAAAAAAGATGCACGCAAACGCATACATAATTTGAACAAACAAAAACGTGAAATATAAATGTAAATGAGAAAAGTGCATAAAGTTGAAAATAACACTGTTTGCCAAAAAGACTGATACAAGAGGGCGTCACATTATAAAAGCACTAGCAGAGACCGCAAACTAAAACTTTCCCGCAAAAAGATGTCTACTTCGGGCGTGTTTGCGACATTTGACATGTTAAAATTATACTGGATAGGCTCAATGGGTCTTAAGCTTTTTGGATCAGAGGAACCGAAAACACGATGGGAGCGAAGAGACCTGCCAGGTACAGGAATGAGTACGGATGAGGTTAGCTTGGGGCAATCTATGAAACCGTGAAGACATTTGTGTAAAAATAAAAAGTCTCGTGCCTGCCTCCTTTCGGAGAGGCAATGCAGGTTTAAAATCTTCAACAATCGCTCATGGCTGAAATAAATTCGCCTGTTAAAATAACGATCGTAAAGTAGTCGAACAAACTTCTTCTGTACATTTTCAAGTTCATTAGAGTTTGTCTGGTTTAAACGATTCCAAACAACGCTAGAGAAATCCAGTTTAAACAGGATGAGGGATCGGTACAAATGCAAAAAGCAAGAATATCCTCTAAAGTTTCGAGTCATTCTGGTAATTGCGCCCAAAGTACGGTAACATGTATTGCTCAAGTATGCCACATGATCAGAGAATTTAAATTCACTGTTCAAGAAAACTCCTAGATCACGTACAACTGAGACGCGCTCAATCGAGCACTTGTTCAAAGTGTAGTCAAAGGTGTTAAAGAAATGTTTTCTCGAAAAAGATATGACTTTTGTTTTAGCAGGGTTGAGAACCAACTTGTTGTCCTTGCACCAGTCTGCCAATGCTGTAATATCTTGCTGTAGTTTATTGCACTCAGAAATGTCCACAATAGCTCGGAAAAGCTTAACGTCATCGGCAAATTGTAACATTTCCGAGTGATTTATGCATGAGCAAATATCGTTCACGAAGATGATGAAAAGCAGAGGCGATAGGCTAGAACCCTGCGGGACTCCCGATTTGGAGAGGTACGCGGTTGATTGTGCACCACCGTATGAAACAGAATTCCATCTGTCATGCAGATAGCTGTGAATCCATTCGCAAAGAGGTAAGGAGATACCATAGGACGCAAGTTTCTTAACTAGCAGTGAATGGCTCACTAGGTCAAATGCTTTTTTAAAATCAAAGTAAATTGCGTCGACCTGCTGCTTCGACCCTAGTTTGGCACCCACAAATTCCGTAAACGCTATTAAGTTTGTTTCCACAGAACGATTTGGCATAAAACCATGTTGTTGTACGTTTATACGTCTGGAAAAAAAATGCATGATATGACAATGCATGGCCTTTTCGAACACCTTGGCAAACGAACAGATAAGTGAAATTGGACGATAATTAGTGACAGTTAGTGCCGACCCATCTTTGAATATTGGCACAACTAGAGAGTACTTCCATGCAGTTGGAAAAAGCCTATCTTTCAACGACCGATTAAATACAAAAGTTAAAATCGGAGCTAACACGTCACCGCACCCTTTCACTATAAACAAAGGAATTCCGTCGGCTCCAGCCGATTTCTTAGGTGGTAACACCCGAATCGCCGCAAAAACGTTGTCAATGCTGAGCTCGGGAATTGATAAGTATGCGTTTTCCTGGTCTGGCAGTGTGCAAGTTTGAGACGTATTTCCCGTGGAATCAAAAACACCAGAAAAGAAATCCGCAAACGCTTGACAGACGTCGCTCGGACTGCTGATATGTTCCGAACCGTTAGATAGTGTTATCTTCTGTGCCGTTTTCTTTTTATTCGAGAAGTTCCTGGTATACTTCCAAAGACTTTGCGGATTTTGCTTTAGGCTTGATTCAACACTTTGAGTGTGGCTTCGGAGGTCCCGACGATAAAGACGCTTCGCTAAAGCTCGCTCCGACTTGAACTTTTCGTACCAGAACAGATTATTAGTCAGTTTGTAATGTCTGTGATAACGTAGCTTTTTCCTCATTGTATGTTTCAATTCGTGGGAAAACCAAAAAGGGTAGTGATTTGTGACACCATGTACGTAAGCCGGAATGAACATCTTCATAGCTGATGTCACTAGGTCTGTAAGCATTAGTACTTGTTTATCTACGTCATCTTTACCTGATGTAATGACTGACCAATCTGTGTTCGCAAGAAACTCGTAAAGCTCCAGGTAATTCCCCTTTGCATAAGAAAAAGCAGTCGTTTGCGGACATGCTGTACCTTGGTTATCAGCTATGCTAAAATCTACTTCAAACGGGACATGCCAGGTGTCAACAGGGACAAGTGGGGCGCTAGCTTGTTGTAGTATACATTCGTTATCATTTGTAAGGAACAAATCCAACACGTTGCCTTTGTAGTTGAGAAGAAAATTTTTTTGGTATAGTTCCAAGTAGTTCACGAGCTGAGATAAATCATTCGCTTTTCTTCGCACCTCTGAGTTGGACGAGTTTATGATACCAGTGTCCCAATTCACACCAGGCAGGTTAAAATCGCCCGTAATAAAAACACGGTATTTTGCGAAGTCTATCATGCTCAAAGCGTGATTAATACAAGAACTAAAGGTGGAAAAGTCGCATTGCGGAGGGAAATAGTAATTCCCCAGAAGAATATTCTGTTGTCCGTGAAGATTAATTTCGATCCACACTGATTCCTTGTAAATTTCCATATCAGGTCTGCGATAGGATTCTAAATTGCTTCGGACTGCTATGAGAGCACCGCCCCCGTGAATTTGATTGCACATTTCGCAATCTCTGTCCCCACGATAGACTGAAAACTGGGACGGAAAATACTCGGTACTAGGAATATCCTCCCGCAACCATGTCTCAGTTATACAGTATATATCATATTCAGAAGCGATACAATTTTCCATGAACTTCGCAGCCTTTCCACGTATGCTACGTGTATTCTGGTAATACAAAGATAGTTTGCGTGCATTATTCATCGCCGTTCCTGGGTTGGTTGCTCGTTTGGTCAAAACGCATGCTGTCCTTTAGCGGACCGTAAAACGGACGAAATAGACAACCCTCAGGCCACAGTTCAGCGTCGCTGATGACGTCCAACTTGTCATCGTCTACAGCAATGTGGAAGGATGAATAAGTGTCAAACTTACTTCGCAGCCTGGTGCACACAAAGCAGGTGACCTCAGTAACTGACGCCAACAGTTCACAAACATTTTCAGACGATGTATCCGGGTGAAGGCGTGTTACAAACAGAGACTTCCGCGGGCGACGAGCACTTGAGATGCTCGACGACTTGCATTTGCCGGCTCTCATGGTGCTCTTCTTCCGTCTAACCTCTTGGAATCCATCGTTGGCTTCATCTGTCGTAGCATCGTTGATGTCGCTCTGTCGGCCCTTCTTGTTGTGGGATGTAGTATTGGCACTGGGATTCAAAGCTGCCATCGTACCGCTTCCTTGCGTCGCGGTGCGTCGCGCAGTGCTGGCCAACTTGCCCGGTTCTGCCGATTTTTGCAGAGCGCCGGCGAACGTAGCCCGTTGTTTCTCAGGTGGGGTCACGGTGGGGGGATTTTCGAGCACAGCACGAAGTTGATTCACGGCGTCCAACGTCTCGCTCGCCTTGGCTCGTAGCTCTCCATTTTGATCTCGGAGCGCAGCAATCACTTGCCCCTGAGACGACACCACCGCTGACAGCTTGTCTACTCTTGCGAGCAGCGATTCCACGAGGCCGAGAAGCTTGTTCTCGGTATCCGCGTTGTAAGCCACCGCTGCTACCGCTGGTTCCTTGGCGCCAACTTCTTTCGTAGAAGGGGGCGTGTCGCTTATCGATATTCGCCGCCGAGTGCAAGTTTTGCATTTATATTTGCTCCGTCCGCTTGCCATAAGCACATCGTAATCTTCCGCGTTTACGTTGATACATTTACAATGAAACCGTTGGCCACAGTCGCCGCAGCACTCGAGATACTGCTGCCTGCCGAAGATTTTCCCGGAGCAGTCGGCACACACACCCTCCGCATTCGCCATCTTCTATGAATGTCTGTGAATCAGAATCAGGTCTGTGAATCAGACATGTCTCTCTGGGCATGAATACAATTGCAGATTAAGTTTAGTTTATGCACACAGGACAGGAGGCTAATGAGAAAAATAGAACTGGTGATGACGCCACGCAATAATTCTGACAATAACGATTAACATGTATAGGCGAGAAATCAAAGAAATTGTAACATAGTTACACCTACATAGTGTTCGAAATAATTAATTTTGGGGCTGAGCTATTTCTTTTTTTTTTGTGAAGGTGGTTTCTGACTACTGGGACATGAACCGTGGTGCAAGCAAATCCCTAATTTCTTGTTTGGTTTTAACATATGCTACGTTATAGTTCTTGAGAGACGATACTCCTTGCGAATTCTTCGCCGCCTTAAAGTGAAAATGTGTTTAAGGCGAAATCCTCATGTCCTATTGCGCGAAAAGGCGGCGTCACCGTCGTGCCCGAAAGATGGCCACAAAAATACGTCATCAAGCACGCGCCGCTCAAGGCACGCCTCAGAAATAAAGCAAAGAAAAGCGAAGCAACGCATATGTTACGCCACGGAAGCCTCCACTGCGCAGACGACGGAGGTGCCGCGCCTGCGCATTTGGGGAGCGTGACGTCACTGTTGGTGCGCAGTGTGCAAGCGTGGCACGCTGCTAGTAAGAATGCGTTTGCCTTCCTACACGTAAACAGATTTAAGTGTCTTCGGTGTTTTTTTTATTTATCTCATATTTTCAATACAACTTTACATTCCAGACAGAAATCTTGCGGCTTTGTGTCCGCCAGTTTTAGATTCGATTTGTAGGCATAATGTATATTCAAAAAAGTCCCAACCCATCAGTCATAGTCAAATATTGTTGGGCCATAGCTTTAACAGGATGATCTCACATTCAGGACTGCATCTTCAAAAAGTTTAATCCTCAAAATTTTGATCTGAGGTCAGCTTTAGGTGTAACTTATTTGAGGAATGCCTTCTAGGTAAATATCTCAATGAAAGATGCCAGCTGATGCTACATTTAAGGTACCAGGGTTAATTCCCTTTTGATAGCGTACGAAGAGAGGAACTGAAGTGTTGGTTGTAAGCAAAACTGTATTTGCAGGGGTCACTAGACTACGAGACAGTTACCCAAAAACTGAAATACCTGGGGCAGGTCATCAACGAGACAATGCGTATCTGGCCTGCTGGCCTCACGTAAGTAGAGGCGTCTATTCAGTTACAATGTCGAAAATAACAATAAAATAAACAGTTCTTCCAAAGTATGACAGGCTTTTAAAAGGGCCCTGATCCCATAAAATTCTCCGTCTGTCTATCAGTGCAATACCCCGCTAAAATAGCGGGAAAATTGACGTCACCTGACGTCATTGCATCACGTGATGAAACGAATTGGCACCGTATTGTCATACCCAGTGACCACGTCAAGTAATGTCGGGTCATGTGACTACTTCCCCGCTAAATTTAGAGGGGAAACATGTTGGAAGTTCCCGTTATATTTAGAAAGAAAATTGAGGTGGCGTGAAATAACCTGCGGTATTACCCGAGGCAACGACGCTGTCGGGACGTGGGGTCACGTGTCGTCAGATAAGGGGATGATAATTTCTCCCCTAATGCTTGCGGATAACTTGATTCAAGTGACCTGACACCATATGACGTCAGAATATTACCACGTGAACATCTGATACTTAATTCACAGGTTTACCACAAGGCAAGCAAAGGAAGACTTTGAGTACCAGGGCATCAAATACAAGGCTGGAACATGCATCATGTCTCCAACACTTCAGATTCAGAGGGATGAGAGGTTTTTCCCGGATCCCATGAAGTTTGACCCTGACAGGTATCGTTTACATAAATATTTTTTGGTGGTGATGAAGATAAAGATATCTAAATTTTAGAAAATAATCGTCGTTGAGGGATGGCGTAAATTGCTTTAACCAAGTATTTATAATTTAAAGAGAAACTAGATTTTTACGGTTTCTTGCACTGTGTACAACGTCTGCTTTTCTAGAGCATGGATGTTCAGTGGCATCTTATCTTGAGATACTGAGAAGGTAATATATGCCCGGAAGAGGTCGCAGGGTGACACACAGAAAGGCAAAATACCGCGCAAAAATTACACAAAAAACTTTAATATCAAAATTAAAGCAGACAATATAGATAAGAAAAATAAAAAAGAAACACGTTGACATTTAAAGCTTTCCTTGGAGAATCACTGTAAAAATAAAAAGACAGCAACGAAAAGAAGAATCACGAGCAATCAGCCCACTGTGATTAAGCCGTCATTTCAATACGATGATCAGGTAGCACTTCTTTTGTGGCGACTACAGCCTCTACGTTAATATATCTATGGTATATCAGTTTAACTAGGTTCTATCACTCTTCACGCACGCTGGGCTAATATACGGCATCATTGACACATCCTTCTGAGCTTCGGTCATATGTAATGGCCAAAGTCATTAGATATGGCTCCCGCCATTACTTTTTCGCACCACCCACTTTACTAGGAACACTCGAATTTCTTCGAATAACAATATTTCAACCATATTGGAAGATTGTATCTGACTGTTCGAAAATATTATGGCAAAATTACTGTGCCGGGACGTTGTTTACTCAATTTCGCTGTGCTGTTTTTTAAGGATGGGGATTAAGAGTCTCATTGGTTTTAAGAAGAGAGCATTTTTTACAGAAAGTGCCCAACTGCTCGATCATGGGTCACGTGGGTTTGGGGCAGCGATTGAAATACGAGCTGCAAGAACGTGACGCAGGCGTTAATCGTCTGCGAGCGCCTCTGCCTTTCTGTCTGCTTTCCTCTTCGCCACGGAAAAGCGCAGGGCATGCTCACTAACAGCCAATCGGCACGAAGGGTGTCCGCCATTAAATTTCAAACGCTCTGCGTGCTTTCAGATGAACCCTTTTTCCAGTTCAGAATTTCTAGTTTTAGCTACACTTGCTGCGACTGGCAATCGTCATCTGAAAATGCCCTCATGGCCGACCAAAATATTCTATGCGCCTGAAGCTTTTTGTTGTGTGTTGTTTGTGTACTATTTTGCCGATAGATGGGGCGATGCAATTGCTGATGAGGCCCTTGGCGCCATATAGTGGCAACCAGAAAGTGTTTTCAATGACCTTCCAAAACTAATTTCACCAGCACCTTTGACTGATATATTGTTGATCTAACGAAGGCGAAACTAATAAATGGAGTGTTGCATTTAGAAAACTGAGCTATCATCGGCTTGACATGATGCGATGAAAAAGTGAGAGAGAGGAGAGACGAGAGATCGCTGGGGACGTCAGAATGCCAAGCTCTGGTTGGACCGACTAGTGGGTAGGCCTAAAGCTAGAAGCCTTTGTTTCCACTGCACTCGTCGAACGCGATAAAACAAGGAAGACAGGCGTCTGGAGTTTGTGTCCAACATCTGACCGTGTTTGACTCGTGCAGTGGAAACAAGGGCACCTAGCTTTAGATAGGCTAGCTTTAGGCCACGGGTATTAGTTCCTGACTGGGAACTAATACCCGTGGCACCCAGTTCCAGTTCAGGAAAGCTTTAGGTCTACCCCCTATTCACTCGAGTAAGAGCTCGACGGCTTGACGTCCCTTCGCGCTCTCGTCTCTTTCTCTGGACATCTTCCTCCACGCATTTAGGTCTGTCACTTATGGGGGGCCAAGGCGGAGGTAGAACGCGGAAAATCCTAAGCGCTAAGATTGGTGGTTTGTAGAGAAAGAACGAGAAAGAAAACGACAGAACTGAAGAAGAAGGCAGAAGAAAGCCTAGGCGTGTTCGATTAGTCGTGACGACTGGAAGATATTCGTGTGCTTGTCGTCTTATTCGCGCGCATTTTTTTGCAAAGTAAGTACTAAATAATGATAGACACATGCTTTGCTGCTTCTTTATGTAGATTAGGGTGTAGCCAGTGATCTATTAAAGTCCCATGAGGATCCCCTCTCCTTCATGCGACCACCGATGTCTTTGTCTATGCCCCGCCGTTTCGAACCTGCCGCAATGCATGGGGCCTGACCCTCTAGATTATTATATGCTTAAATAATCATTACCATACTCTCAGGGCCCATAGAATACCATCAAAAAGGAGGTCATAAAGATTCACGCTGAGAAAAATTAATACGATAATTTTACAAACAGAGTAAGCAACTTAGAAGATAAGTGGTAGTTAACTCCGCTTGAAAGAGTTCAATTGATGGTTTGTTTCTCAGAGGTGCGGGAAGGACCCTCTGGTGTATATAATTTGATGGTTCCCATGCGCACCAGAATGCTATCTCCGTGTTATTAGTTAGCGCTAGAAAAAGCGTAGATCTTGCTGATGCAGTAATGACTTCACTTTATATTGGCGAAAGACTGCCAGTACACATGAGAGTTTTTACAGTGAAGCTGTTCACAGCTAGGGTTCCGTGGATTTTTTATGTGCGTCAACAACAACTTAGATAACGAATTTGATGCAAAATCGCTTCAATCTGTGCAGAAGCTTCTGCCTCTCATCACTTGGATATGCATTTTGAGTAGATTAGTTATCAAAAAGCACAATTTTCTTGGGGTAGACTCTCAGGTAGATAATAAAGGTTTCTCAAAAATATGCCGCTGTGCAACCCGCGTGGACCATGTCTACGCTCGCGCTGGTCTCTCTTTGTCGCTGTTCAAGCACTTGCGACCCTGGTTTCCTTTCCGTCCGCTTTCCCGGGGTGGCAGACCCGTCGAGCGTGTCCGCTTTCCGCCCGGGGGCGGTCCCGTCGTGCGTGTCTAGTTTTTCTCGGTTCCTTGGGCCGGGTCTGTGTCGTGTGCTAAACAGCTTCGCTTGTCATGTACCTTCACAGAGTTGAATGATTCATGATTTTTGTTGTAAACTTGACTTTCCTGATTCATAACATCTTGACGTAGACACCATACGAAATGTGGACGTTTCTGTCCGCGACAAGTACCGATACCCCTGGACAATCCCGTAAAAGGTACAAAGGTCACTATCCTTATCACATTGTATGGAACCTGTGCAAAACTAATGGCGTTCTTCTTGAGGTTGATAAAGAAAGAAGTTCAAGATACTATCAAGCGATGGATCTATGAAGCATGTAAGTTCGAGATGTCAGTACTACACCATGTACGAATTTGGTACATCGGCTGTGTAAGCGTTTATGTAGGGATGTGCTCCAATTAATTTCTTGGTTCATGTTTATCTCCAAAGATTTTTGATGGCAAAATTTTCATCAAGGGGCGTAAGATTCGCCCCTGTGTAGTGGTTAGCTTTTATGATCGCACCATTGAAACTAAAACGAACGGAGAACAAAGTAAGCAATGATTGCAGAATTAATTCTCATCTGCATCACGTGCGACAGTTAGGGTGCCCAATGAAATATAGTTTCATGACCGCCAATAGTTCGGTGAAAATAAAACTGCTTTTTCAGCCATCGGATGGCACTGAACTTAAAAAAAAAGGCTTATTGGATCATCAATTTTGCGTTCCAGGTTCAGCGAGGAGAACGAGGATAGTTTCCCGAAGATTGCTTTCCAGCCTTTTGGGATAGGACCCCGAAACTGTTTGGGAATGAAGCTCGCTCTCGTCGAGCTCGCCTACACGGTTGCCAGAATGACTCAGCATTTTCGTTGGGAACTCGGCGAATCGCAGAAGGCAAGTTTCCTCCTGAAGCGTTCCTGCGGTGCCATGATAGCCATGCGGTGTCAAGGTCAGAGTTAGATCATTAAAAAAAAAGGATCTGAGTTTTTGATTTTGACCTTACTTGTGGAAATATTCAAATCCTGGGGCGATTGCCTCATCTTCATGATTACATTTTACCAGGCACGCGTGATTTCCTGTGTGAATTTGACCAATTTGATGGTCTGGCTATGGTGAGCTATATGTTCCTATAGGGGGACATGGGTTTTTGAAGCCAAAAATTTTCTAAAACTGCATTCTTTTGAAAAAAGGTGATGACTGTTGTTCTTCTGAATCTGCGAGGCTTATAATTTCGTGGATGAATATTTGAGCTATAAATCAATTTATAATGTCTCTGCGGACTGAATGTGTGTTTAAGTTGACTCTAAAACTCTAAAACATTGTTTTCACAAAACACAATTTTTGGACTCATTGAAAATTTGCAGGATGGATCTCTCAGCATCTAGAGCAGATAGAAACAAAAACCTTTTCTGAAATGTGTAGCTAAATGTGTGAAGCATACAATGTTGAGAGCAGAGTTTTTAATATAAGTCTGGAAGGTTTTCTATTTGATCGTTTGTTTTATTACTAATTAGTCATGCATTGAGCACTGAACTTCAATGTGTGGTAAGCTCAGTAGTAATGGGTTTACCTTAAAAGTTTTTACAACATTGTATCCTCTACACTTTGTAGTATCTAGCCACGTGTTAAAATGTTTATTTTGTTAAACAGTTTTTCCCCTATCGTTCCTCCAAAAAAATGCAGGCAAGTTTTAATTATCTTGAGGACAATTCTACTGACTGAGAAAATTACCATATATATAAAATCAGCACAAAAAGATGAACAAGCTTGTGTAGTTTCATTGGGTTTGTCATATAATAAGAGAAAAAACTCCAAGACCAGTGTTCCCCCTTAAGTTTTTTTTGGGGATTTCAACGACCAAAAGCAAGTGCGCTATTCGGTTTGATTGCTTTGGACGCAAATATCTTAGACTTCTTGAGGGACAGCATATTTAAATTCATTGGTTGTGTTAAAAGCAAACGCGCTATTTTTGCGGTAAGAGCCTTCTTCTAGTGAGTGCTTAAGAGGGACACGCATGCAGCATAAAAAAATGAGTGTAAACGATGTCTTTTTTTTTTTTGACCAGCTGAATGCGCGCATTGACCAGACTAGTCATTTCGTTTATTTTGGGAATTTCCAGTTTCATGTGGTGGAAGATATAAATGATCCCCTAGCCCTTCCACAGGATGTTAATTTACTCTAAAAGTAATAACAAGTACGTAAGTGTAATCTTTTGGAAGGTAGTCAAATTGCAAAAAAAGGTTTCACGCTGGCTTTGCTCGTTCAGCTTCGACCGTCGGCCTTTGATTCATGTTTTCACGACACACCGAAGATCCGGTGGCGAAAGGTTGGTGAAAGGTTGTGGCGCACTACAAATAATTTAGGATAGAAAGTACGTGTGACCACCGTCATACATACTGACGTACAGACGACCAAATCCTCGCAAGGTGATTGGATGATTGGCCTCTGTTGCCACGGCAATCACTATTTGGTCCATTTACATTTTAAAAGGTTTAAAGGGGCGCTCTGAACAAGTCGCGCCATGTTTGCCATGCATTGCTATCGTACTGAAAGCGTTCCTCACCAAGATAATGTCATCAGCGCTGCGTAGGCAGTTAACGTATGAGTCGTGTTCATCTCTACATTTCCTCTATAAAAATGTAAATGTTTAACGCAAATATAATTACCGGAAATATATTTTTTCCCGTCAAGTACCGACGATACTTCTGTTGGCGGTGCGAAGATGTGCGTTGGTCTAGTCGGTGTATGAGTAACGAAATGGCGGTATACAAGGAATGTGTTTATGAAGCAGCTTCTCGCTGAGATTTCGGATTGTCTCAACAAGGATTAGAATGTGGAGGAGAAACTACTAATTTTATGGACTAAAATGGCGACATACTAAGAACTTGGTGTTACCTTTAAAGGAACCAGTGACTTTAGATTACTGTACTAGTTGATAGATCAAGAAGTGCAAGGTATCTCAAGTCCCTATTATGTTATTATCCCTCCACAGTTAATTAGATTGTGGCGTTCGGTGACAAAAACAGTGGAAAACAAATCACGAATCAAGTTGCATTAACAATAAACAGGATATCCCCGCTTTCCTTAAGAAGTGGAGCCGGCAGTAGGTGCAGTAAATTTGCATAAGAACGTGTCGGCATTCTGGAAGTGTTTCATCGGGCTGAGTGTTTTTGTGTCTATATTTTCCGTCTCTTGTTAACTTGCGGTTTTGTGCAGAAGTAAATTTTCAGTTGCCGGTCAAAGTTGTGCTTGTGCGCTCCTTAATCTAGCCTTCCGTTCTCCTTTCGGACAATTTTTTTTCTTTTTTTACACACTTGAAGAAGAAAAGTTTCTTTCCGATACGTGTGTGTATCGTTTTAATATTATTAAAATTTCTTTTAGCATCTTAAGCTATGCTAAAGCGACTAGCCCAACTCCATGATTTGTTTCTTAAGCAGTCAGTACCTTATCAGCGCCATATGATTCGCTGTGCTTCCGTAATTTTGGAAGGATCAGCTTTCCTCTGAACGTCGCGGGAGCGTATATTGTCCTGATAAAAGGGCGACCTATATTGGAGTATATACAGAAATGATTTTTTTCTTCATTTCAGGGAGAAATGCCCATCGATCAGTACGGCATGGTGTCCTCGCCAGCAAGTGGGCCCTGGATTCTCTTCCATAGGTTATGAAGACAAATTTGCGCAATGCTAAATAAATTAATATTCTGTGATTGTTCGACAAAAATCCAAATCACAAGTAAACTTCAGCGTTCTTATATAAGTACGAGCGTTGTGCATGCATGTCATGTGTTTGTAGTGGTCAATTGAAATGTACTACCGGAGCTCGAAGTTAAGCCAAATGTTTGCGGCTTGGATCCTTGCTTCGACTCGATCTCCTCCTACCTCCTGCAAAAATATATTTTGCAAAAATTCACGATTCTGCAGCGCAACTTCGACAGGACGCATCATTAAAGTGGATAATTATTGTTACATTAGATTTGCTGCTGCTGTATTTTACGGGATCTATAGGAGGAAATGTACACGGCTCTTTTCAACTCTAGAAGAGGTGACGCCACCATTTAACAACTAGACATAATAAAAACACCTACAGCTTGATTATGCCCACATCGACCGGGGAGCACAAGTCCTGTTGAGCGCAAACTAGCATCTAGCAGAATCGCACTGTATGACATCACGTGACTTAATAATCTTGACTGGCTCGCGCGTCATGGATTTTTTCGCTCAGACCTAGAAGGAAAATTGTCGTCATCTGTCAAAACTTTCCCCGCTAAATTTAGAGGAAATATGGTAGCTTGGGACTTCAAGTTACTGAACCTGGTCACTTGACGTTAATTACCTCTCTAAATTGAACGGGGAATATTGGCGCCACGTGACTACAACTTGTCCGTTAAATTTAGCCGCAAGGTGTAACGTGACGGTTTCATCAATGGTTCTTTGTGGCGAGCTTCTCATAAAATTCGGCTAATAAAGCCCAATCTGTGTTAAAAACAACAACAAAGTAAGTAAAGCAAAAAAAAAAAAAAAAGTGGCGAATTGCTAGGCGTTTGTCTTGCACAATTGCCTAGGAATTTCTAGCATCGCAAAGGTATATCGACACTCTGGGTTTGCAGACACCAGACGCCTACGTCCAGGGTGGTCTTCAGCGGATAGTTTATCACGTACCATGTGTACGCTTGGTAGTTGTTGCTAGAATGAAGCGATATCAGGCTACCTGGCGATCTTCCCGAAGCCTTCCATACCCCTCTTCTTTAGTGCGCTCAAGTAGCCGAGCTCCTCCTCGCCCACCATATTTCTCTTCGCCTACGCCTCTGGTCCCGTCAGCCAATCAGCGCCGAGCACCTAACTCCTTTTTTTCCACCCGTCAATCAATCCGTGTCAAGCCTCGCGGCCTTGTGTTTATCTGGACATAATATAATGCCGAACACCTAGATAAAGAACGCCTGACGATAAAGAAACGCCACAAGAACGGTGAACGTGCCGATGAAATCAACTTTTTATGCAAATACACAAGTTGCTGACAGACGCGGTTTTCCGTGTCCTTTTTCGCTATCGCTGACGCTTCAAGTGCTTTGTTCGGCACTTTCATACGGCCTCTCACAGGAATCTTATCTTCGAATGTTAGCTGACGAAGCGTTTCCGACCGATGCAAACCACGTCGCATGGCAACGAGATTTTCTCAGAACAAGATGGCAACCGATACGTTCCTCTATTCTTTCGGATAATTGACGTAGTCAATTGCTACTAAAAGAAAAAAAAAAAAGAGGGCGTTCAGAGCCAACAACACCTAGAAGACTAGACGAGCCCCTTTCACCTCGAACGTCATAACTACAATAAATCCACGAGGCACCGGCGAGCTCGTGTCGGCATCGGCGCTGGTAAGTTTCGGATCGTCGTGCAACGAGCGCAATCCTTGCACGCGGCAAAGACAAGAAGGACGGGCCTATCACTTTGCAGTGTGCTCTCTTTGAGCCAAACTTGTAAAATAATCTGTTACAAGTTACGAATTACTTGTAGTCCGTTACCTTTTGGGGCAATTATGTAAAAGACAAATCCCACCATCCAGTTTGCCTACGCCATCGCTGCCGCAATGCATCGTGGGAACTTTAGTCTTTCTGCACGTTTGACAACACCGCTAGATCCCTGCGCGTGTGGGGCACGAGACGGCACAAGCCTTCGCATGCACAGCCGTCTGCCTCCTGTGAACTAAGTTACGGTGGCGTCCCGGATTTGCCGAAGGCTTGGTGAGATCGGTTTATTACCACTTTACCTTTTTGCGGCGGTAATTTGTAATATAATATCGTTACAAATATTGCTAGTGGATCACATTAATTGATTGTTATTTTTAAAAATAAGAACATAATATGAAAACCGGAGTAACATGAGCCCAAAGGTTCAACAGAATAGAAAACGTCGTGAAGAGTAGAATAGCCAGCCGGCAATGGCCAGGCGGCACCACGAGAGTACTGCATTCAGCGCCACAAGCGGAGGCGTCTCTGTTAATGGGGCGGCCAGTCTGCCCGTCGGGCCGTTGCGAGCGGCGGCGACCCCGATTTCAGCAGTACCCGTGTGCACCTGCGTGGCATGTCCCTGGTTCTTTTCTGCGTTTTTTTAAGACCATCGGGAGCCTCGATAGGTCCAAGTGTTTAGAGAATATTCTAGAGTCGTCATTTGGACACCAGTTTGAGTTGTCTTCACTATTTGTGGCCGCCCCATCGGTCTGTGCTTCGCTCGTCTCCTAGGAAGTGACACAACACAACGAGAAGGCAGCGAATGGGTTTATTGTACGTCCCGGTTGCCCGTCTTCGAGAGCCGGCAGTCCGGACCCGCCGACCCTAGTTATCGCCCGTCGTTCAGAGCATAGGCGTAGACTGCGGGGGGCATCAGGGCTCATGCCCCCCCCCCCCCCCCTAAGTAAACTCCGAACAAAGGGGGGGAGGGGAGGGCTCCGCCCCCCCCCCCCCCCCTCCCTTTGTTCGGATTGCCCCCTCCCCGGGCCCGGGTCATGATCCTTACCGAGACGCTGTTTACGCGCCATGTAACGAGCTTCTAGTAGTGGCATGTAAACAAAATAACGCCCACGTTGTCTTTATTGACAAAATACAGAGGAAATAGAATTCCAGCGTGCTTTCGTTAGCTTCAATCTCCAGTCCTGACGAAAAGGTAACGCACACCCCCACCCTCACCGCGGAGAATTTCTCAGCCTGTGGTACTAACCAAAGCCTTCTCAGGCTTTGATTAGTACCACAGTGCTTTTCCTTGAGATGTCTATGAGTTTTATCTGTCTCGCCAAATAATTACCGGAGTGCGAGTCTTGAGCAAAAGATGCCAGGTATGAACCGGAGAACCGTGCAGTCAAGCCTACATGCTGTTGACAATTTCGGACCGTAGTTTCCTAGATGAAAACCGAACAACCAGAAGTGTAGCCTAAGAATGGCAGTTGCTTGGAAAGGTGTAAAAATATTTAAGCACATCCGAGTCGTATTTCAGAAACTTCGCTCTTACATAAGGCTTAGGATGAAGGTGGGAAGTGGTGTCTCGGTCAAGATTAGGATAAACCAATGGGCAATAATGGAAAGCCAATGATAAAGCGCCCGACTGTGCCTTTTAAAACAGGTCTCTGACAGGATTGATAGGAAGACAGCCTGTACTTTGTTAGCGCGGATACTAGACATCTACGTGGCCTCTGAAACTGCGGAATAGGGATGCTCGTCATCGTCGCCTTGTCAACCCTCTTGGTTGTTTTGACCATCAGTCTTCTAAGGTGAGTTGTTGTAGTTCAGTTAAATTTGATGGATTTACGGGCCATGCCAACGAAGGGTATCTAGCACGCCCTGTGGAAGACTTAAGTTTAATTTCGACCACCTGTTGATCTTTTAACGTGCGACCGAAAGCTCGGTTATAAACTACCACCTCCGCAACTAGGCTCTGCCAGATGCGGGCTCCTCGGCCACGATTCGAACCCACCCCTGAGGATCTCTAGGCCAGTGTTACTGCATTTAATGAAGGAGAGTCTGCCCAACTAAAAACCATACTTTAAACTAGACAAAAAAATCTAAACAAGAACAAGTCAACTTTCTCGTCGTCAAGAAAACCAAAGACAAGAGGAAAGGCCATGCGGAACAAGTAATATTTGAACACCAAAGAGAAAAGAAGATACACAGATAATCCTAAATGCCTGCTAGACTTCTCCAAGTTTGTTTCAATTCCAAAATTCAGCTGCCTTCCTCTTCTTCTTTTTAATTCACTTTAAAAACTAAAAAAAATCTTTTGGCCAATTACGGTCCTCATTTTTTATGTTAAATTAAATTCTGTTATACCGCCAGGTGGTGCAGGTAGAAAGAAACAGTTTATTTCCTTTATTTTGAGCTCTCAGTCAGAAATTGTAAACGCAAACTAGACTTATGAAGGCTAAAATAGGTCCAGATGAAATAGTGAATATTGCACTTAGAAATTGTAAGTGCAAACTAGACTCATGAAGGCTAAAATAGGTCCAGATGAAATAGTGAATATTGACTCCCTGCAGTTTTTGTGGCTATCCCGCGAGCACACACGTTTAAATAAATGAGTCAGGAGAGAATAAGTGCTATATTTAAACGAGTGTCGGTAGATGAGAGATTTGGTGAATAGCCCAGCGTACCAAAATAGGGTATCGTGCAGGGGAACTGGCAGAAGTTTACCACAGTAATATTAACGCAAGACTGGAGCAGAAAAAGAAGAAAATATTGTTTAAAAAAAAAGTCGAAATAGACAACGTCTCGAACTAAACTAACGCGTTTATTTAATAATGTTTCCTTTATACACACATCCACAATGCCACCAAACTGCCGAATTCCTTGTTTTCAGAGACACGCACAAAGTACCACACTCACAACAGAAAAGAAAACAGAAATAACCTATGAGCGGACGATTGCATTTAGACCCCTTCTTTGTATCTCACGGGTCACAAAACCGTGGGGAAAATAAACGAGAGATTCAAGACTGTACCTTAAAATAAACTGCCTGCAGACGAGACAAACAAACAAGGCTGCAAAGTTTACTCGCAACAAATGGCTTTGCCAAATAAAATGCGTGGAACTCTTAAATTATGATCAGCATCAATATAGTACGCAAAACTATTAAAATACTGTCGGGAGTAGAACAACTGTAGACGCTTGTTTTTTTTGAGGGTGTGAACGTTCCAATCCCTGGTTGGTTCGGAACGTTGAGGATGTGAACGTTTCAATCTCTATATTCAGTTAAGAGCAAGGATCTTGCCTGCAGTAATTTTCCTCTGAAGTGTTGCTAAAACGCGCTGCAGAGTGTAGAGAGGGAGAGGCTTCATCAACCAGTGACATACCAGGGGGGAGAAGGGTTGTGGGCTGCGTCCCCTTGGAAGTTTGCCAATGGAGGAGATCTAGTAATGCTAGTAGCTAGTAAAAAACAAACACAATAGAAGGTGGTTAACTGAACTGCGGACTAATCTAACTTGGCTAGGTCATCATCTAGGGGAGTGATATTACTCTTGAGAAAAAAGAAAAAGAAAAAGAGAAGGTGAGAGAGAAAGAGAGATAGAGCAGGAAATACTAAGGCGAAGATGTCAGATAATATCAGGGGGAATGTTCTGGCAAGACGGGGGGGAAATTCTGGAAATAAGTGAGAATGCTTTCTGCCATATACTACCATGAAGGTCTGCTTAATAAAATGTTCGTCTTGTTCCTCATTGGATAGCCTTGTCCAATTATAATTTTTGCCCGAGACAACCGCAAATAATATTAGCTCTCATCAGTAATTTTTGAAATATTGGATAAAAATATTTTTAATTATAAGTTTTCTGTCAGATCCGCATTGTGCATAATAAACATTCACATGACCGTATTTTCACGCAGAGTTATTAAGATTTTTTTGAGAAAGGTGGGGCATTTTTAGCGGAAGGTTCATTTGACGTAAATAAAATTTTACGATTCCATGCAAGGTTTAAAGGGATACTACAACGAAATTTCAGCGCTCATTATTCGGTCTATATGTGTTCGAAGGAGCAGCATCACATCGAACATACCAATGTCTTGTTAAAAAAGTCACGAAAAGAAATTTTAGAACAAATTAAACGATTAGCAAAGAGCAGCTGGTGGATGTCACTAACGCCTCGCTTGTAATGCCCGTCTAGGAACCTTGACAGCTAGTGACGGAGGTTGTCTCGCCTCCGGCCACGACGAGAGAATGCCTTTTGTGTGTCGCAGAAGTCGCTATTGTCCCCCTTCAAGAGTACAGAAGATTAACCCGTCACTCCAAATTCGTACAAAAGCAGCCACTTAAAAAAAATTGGTTGGCTCTTTCTGTTTATACAGCCTTGATGCGCCTCAACGGGTAATCGGTCTCTTAGCAGTAGATGAGAAATTTAGCCAGTGCAGTACAACCGCTAACCTGGGTTTTTTAACGTGCATCACGCAGTAGTGATCACACGAACGCGTGCCGGTACAAAACTCATCCAGATCGAAACGGGCGGGGGCGGCGGGGATCGAACCCAGGAGGTTCCCAGCGCAAGCTTTCGCTCCACGCTTCGAGCTGAGACGCGTTAGCCCACTCGGTCACTTCCTCCCCTAAAGCAGCCACTTCGGTGGCTGGAACGACTACACTCTTAGAAAAAAGGGTATGGATAGTCCTCCCTTAGGGGAGGAACGATCTTGTAACCTATGTTCCTTTAGAAAGGGAGAAACTTTCGTCCCTGAAGCAGGGGAGCAAAGCTCCTCCGTCGCTTGCATCTCAATATGGCGGCCCCAAATCGAGCAAATCGAGCCCAATAAGGCTTGACGATGACGCTACGTCTCTCGTACAAGACGAGAGCAGCAACAAATAAAAGCGTAACACGAGCTTTCCGCGAACTGTGTTTATTTCCAAAGCCAGATTCCCCCCACAGGTACAGAAACTTGCGTTTCGAAAGCAGTTACTCAGTCTTCTCGTCGACAGCACTGCGATGTTAAACGGAGACAACCGATACCCAGTTACTTCGCGCACTTTGCGTCTTACCTTTGGTGTTCCTGGAGTCACAATTCCTTCGTCAACCGCACATCACGGACAAGGGCAAACTCAATCCGCGAAACCAAAAGCCGCTCTCGAAAGAACAAACTCGAAGCCGCTGTTTGTCGCGTAGCTTGAAAGGTTAATTCGCTAGCCACCAGATGGCGTGGTCAAGCAGAGTAGTTGCGAGTAGCTAGGGTAGGTAGCGCTAGGTACCGCCCAATTCATGTTCTACAAAAAATAATTAGCTCTTCTCAGGCCACTACTGCGCTTCGGGATCCCCTACTATACACACGTCCACATTACGCTTATTACTAACATCAGGTGAACATACATTGAGCACATACGCGGCACACTCAAGTATCAATACAACAGAACACCACACGAACCCAAACACTACACCCGTGCTCTGCGTTTCCGTCTTTTATACTGGTCGTTTTGAACGTACGGAACTTTTCGGTGACTCCCTAAGCAATAAAAAATATTCCCAGCATGTTGATTTTTTCCGAGCAATGTCATACCTCTGAGAGTATTTTGAATGGCTCAGGGGATTAATCTCTTATTAAAAATTAAACGCTCGATCATGCTGTAATTATTTGAGAGCCAATAAATCAAGCCGCTCCAATGCGGTTCGGAGCCATGAGTTTGTTTCCCCACACGGCACGTCGTAGCCTGTATTTCTATTGGTTTTTCTATTTGTGCTGTTCGCGCAAAGCTGCAATTGCCGTCTTGAATTAATCTCTGTGGAGCGGATATTCACTCAGCTGGAAGTGATGCTTCACGGGCTGAGAAATCGTTTTTCGATCAACTTGAATGCAGTCAAAGCCGCGACTTGCGGCAGGTGTTAAGTGTACGGAGCTACGCCGTGGCGAGCCCGAAAACTTCTAGCGCTCATCCCAGCGCGCTATTTGTAGGGCAGTTTCTCCAGGAACCGTAGTATATTTAAACAGCAAAATAAAGGGTAGCTTTTTTTTTTCGATCTTACCTACTATTGTTTTTTAATGCCGAAATTCCATACTGTAAATATACGTACTTTCCGTCACGATTTCGTACTGTTCAGTCCTTGCCTCAGAGCTCAATCGCTCTCGGAGACAAGACAATTCCGACAGTCACACTGGCCACTGTACGATAGTGATAGGAGCTTCTACTGTACAGACCAGCGTTCCAACATGACCATCCGCACGTTCATCGATTGCACGTAATCCCTCAAGTGGTATTATACTCTTTAATGTAAAGCGGAATGTCAACCTGTGACACCAAGCCCCCTCCGATCACGGCCCGACCAACGGCAACAATGCCAGACAGTTTACGATCTCATCTTGTTGTTACACAACTGATACGCGAACACACGGTCACATCGGCGATAATTCCAATCTTCTGTTCACAACCCACAACACTGCCATCACGATGTTGAAGCTATGTTGCTGACACGCACAAATACAGAACCACGTTGAACGCCGGTTGCACTCGGCATCGGAAAACAGAACCGAACTCAGGAAGGAAGGCACCCAGGCAGCCGGCAGCAAAACCTGCCTGTCTTGGACGCAGTTCCTGCGGTTTCCATAACGTCGAAAACGTCGACATAGTTCCGCGTGGTTTCGCTACTGTAGTGACTGTAGCACTGTAGTTCGTGCCGCGCGAGTCCCGCAATCCGGAGACGGCCATCCCCCAGTGTACGTGGCGCTGCTGGCACTGCTCCGGAACTTCGCTGTTTCTAGCGGCTTCATTTGCTCGTTTGATAAAATTAGTGATAAAAACGTCAATGCAACCGAAATGTTCTGCACGTTTATACTAGAAGACGGAATTACAGGCGGCCTTTGCTGCCGCTGAAGCTCCATCAACTCAACAGCTATTTATTAAACAACGTGCGCGACCTACTCGAAAAACGAAACCGAAAGAAGATCAGTCGGGAGGGCGAAAGCTTTCTCCCGTCTGCCTGGAGAAGGAGAAAAACGTTTCGTTCCTCCCTGTTTCTCGTGTCCGCTTGGGGGCGCGTCAGTAGAAGGGAGGAAGACGCGCCGTTGCTACTTTTTTCCTCCATTTTTTCTTAGAGTGTAGGCCATCCTCTCGACGTCAGCCTCGCCGTAGCTTTGCTCGTCCTGAGACGACCTACGTCACGATTGCGCTGGATGTCACGTGGTCTCCGCCGGGCCTTCTCCGAGCGCTTGCCAGAGTGGGCCGTTTATAACGAAAAATACAGCCACCAGGCTCAAAATACAAACGTGTGATTGTCATTTACGGATATTGTGGATCATATTCAACCTATTTTTGAACACGACGGGAATATCTCAAATTTCGTTGAAGTATCCCTTTAAGTTTTTGCATAAACGAAAATTGCCAAATATCTATGGGTGAACAATTTCAGATTTACGAGTGTTTAACCAACAAAAAACAAATAAAAAAAAGTTAAACAACAACGTTATTCGTGTTATGAATTGAACACTATGTATTTGTTTTGCAGATGGAGACAAAAGGCGTTTTCATATTTCAAAGACCTTGGAATTCCTGGACCCAAACCAAGCCTGATTTGGGGAAACCTTTGGGAATACCATCAAAATGTAAATAACACTGCTTACTAGAAATCTCGAAGCTGTAAGTTATTGCGACAAATAAATTCTGTGGAAAGAGGTATAATGTCGGTATGACGTTTCAAGATAAGATCTTGTATTTGCTCTTGATTGGTGGGGGGGGGGGGGGGTTGGACTATTTATTTTTTAGGATATACCTGCTAAAGTTTATTTTCGCAAAGAGTGCAATACAGTAAGTTCTTATCAATAGGCTATCGATAAGTTTAAGAAACACAACGAAATTAATCTTAATTCTTTAGATTATTTTTATGAAGTTCTGCAACATCTTTAGAATGTAATTATCATTAGGCAGCATGCATAAAATATAAACCGATGTAAAGAAATGTACAATGACAGCATGACATTTAAATTGTTAATTTGTATGTCCGTGCATATTTTATCCAGCTGCCACGTGCAGTAACACATGACCGTTATTTCAGATGTAGGTTACTGTAGGGAACGTTTAGTCAGCTCTTACGGGGTACTAAATATCATCCGAACAACAATCGCAACAATGTACGGTTGTGTTTGCAAATGCTTCTACAAATCCCTAAGAATAGGATGGTTGAGAACAAAAACAATCGTTTTGAAACAAACCCAACTTTTTTTTTCAACCTCCTTATTCGTATAAATTTTTGAAATAATTCCCAGAAACACCCGGTATGGAGGTAAAGAACCAGCGTCCTGTTCAAAAGCTTGGTTCTCGAGTCGTTTGTTTTTGTTTCTGATTTTCTCTGAATATTACACGAGTGTGATAATATCACCCGAGATATTAGAGAGCAGGCTATCATGGGGTAGATGGCTCGTTAACTGTCAGATACACATAGAATTATGTTTAGTCACAGAAACTTTCGAATCGCTTTAATGTAAGGTTACTATTTCCTGATCCCAAATTTATGGGTATTTTAAGTGACTGAGAAGTCTTCTATTCAAAACATTGTGATCGAACACCATTACACCTTATGGCCTAGCTTTATATTGGTGGCTTGGATTTTATATCAAAATAGCGTGATTTCATCTACACAATGACGATATAAAAATAAGACAACTCACATTTTCTACAAAACTTCTATCACATTTTCTACAAAGGTTCTATCTCGAATGATCTCCTCCAAATATTGTTAGACGTGTGTCGTTTGATATACTATTATATTAACTTCGAAGAAGTTTACTTAGGTGATATTTGCTTGAAGGTGTCCGGCTGTGCCTAATCATTAGTTTTATCAACCCTAAGAAGACCAATATTTTGACCCATAATTATTGTCTTTACTGACAGGGGCCCTTCCGAGCCCTGGATAAGTGGAGCAAGGAATATGGTGATATATTTGGGTAAGAGCTTCAATGTAATATATTTAGAAGCAGTTACAAAATATACTATCAAAACAAATTGTCTGTTTCTTATATTTTTAATGGCCTAACTTTCGAACAGGTATGTTTGTTACAACTTCCCAATTGTCTTTCTATTTTTATCTTGCTTTTAGTGCAGAAAGCGTTACTGAAGACTAGAAACTCTCTGGAGTGTATGGTTTATACAAGAATAATTTCATGACACTTCCGCTTAAGAAAAATATACGTAGTCAACAGGTTCTCTAAGTTAAGTTTTATGAAACTGGAGACATTTGGCCAGTTTTCGTCAGTATGGTGTAGTCTTCATATATCATTGCCATTTTTTAGGAGTGTACTTCTACTCGAACAAGTTTTAATCGGATACTGTGTGCGAAAATTAATTTCACTGCGGTTTTTAAATGAAGTAAATACAAGACGAACAATCATTAAGAGTAAAGTATCTATAAATAATTCGGCTACCGCAAAAGCAACAGTGTCTAAAAATATAAACATTGTCATGCTTTGCTCAAGCGTACAGCGGTCATCCATTTTTTTTTCAGCTTCTACAATGGAGATGTTCCAATGCTTGTTGTGAGGGATCTTGAGTTTCTGAAGCAAGTTTTTATCAAAAACTTTTCGAACTTCACTGACCGTGGCGTGAGTGTTACTTTTGCTGATAATCCTAAATCCGTTTTTAAATTCGGAACTTTATTTTGAAAATCTACAGAGTGAATTTCTATTGGGACCCTGGACCCTCCTCAGTTTTTCCTGCTGGTCGCTTAGTGGAAGAAATACCGAGGTAGAATGAAAGTGAACAAAATAGTATACGACCTGCTACCACCTACCTTCGCGCAGCAGCAAGTTATACGTATTGGACTTCCCCAACATTCATTGTATTAGGACGATGGAAACACTCCAGAGGGTTAAGGTATCCTTAAATATAGTTCCTGTTTTATAGTAAAACACGTGTGGGTTTCTTTCAGAAAAAACAAGAACTAAAGATTGCAGCTTATAGGGTCAGATAGATTGCGCCAGTACTCGCCGTAGATATGTTTCACCTAGAATGGTTGAGTTAGAATCATTGTTATGAATATAGTATAGAGCTGATAGCAATTTTTAAATAAGATCTGTGAAATACTATAGGCTGGAAATTTAGTGACCAGTGCCTGTTTTTATTGATTGTTATGACATCTCGATGTCATCTGCTTGAAAAAAAGGTTTACTAGACACCTTTCGGCAACATCTGTCCACAAAAACATTTGAAAAAAAAACGCATTTTTTATTCTGAGACTAGTTTACTTATGTTTGTAAAATAAATCCTTGAAAAAATCGTAAAGAAGGCAATTTGCGGGAAGAGGAATCATTTTAGCACGCCACTCTAACGGTGATACTTAAGTGAAATTTTTTTTACGCCATGTCCTACTTATTTACCAACGCTGTGACACTGCCGAGTTCAGTCGCATTAGTAAGGCATTGGAAATTTCAAAGTTGTTACTTTGTTTATTTAGTAATAGCGACCGAGCTGAGTATTTATACAAATGCTAAACGTTTTGTGACGGTAACAACAAGTACGCGACGCCTAGTGCTTTACAAACTCTGTTTAAAAATGTCCTCCCAATTTTGTATTTTGTTTGCATAGCCGGCATTAGTAGGGAAAAGGATGGGTTGATGGGTAGATGCAGATCGTGCACTGTCACCTTAGAAGGCCCATATAAGCCAAGTGTTTTCAGATACAAAGACGTGGCAGCACTTGGTGGATTTATTTATGTTTATTTTGCAGATAACAATGAGGACAGATGAGATGCACCCAATTCTTAGAACAGCCGTGGGTCTTTCAAAGAGATCCCACTGGAAAAGCCTCCGGCCGAGCATCAGTTCTGGGTTCACCAAGCTCAAGCTGAAGCTGGTACGAGAAACGTGAATTGGTCATATGGGCATTTAGGTAAACTACAGCAAACAATGGAAACTATTGTTGTCACTTAAAACAAATTTGAAACCTTTAAACGGGCCGAAAGAAAAACAAGAAGAACGACAAGAAGGACAAGGACATAGTTCCAACTGGCAGCTTGAACAAGTATTGACGTTCCTCGACGAAGCCTATCGCCTCAGCGAAAGGGAGAGGAGAGGAAGAAAGGGGAGAATTGTGAAGGGTCTTTGTCGGCGAAGTGACGCGCGTGAAGGTTTGGCATCAGCCCACTTATTTGGACAATTGTTGGCTAAGAGAGAAAAAGAAAAGAGAAGAAAGACGAGAGAAAGAGCGAAAGAAAAAAAAAAAGAAAGAGAACGAGACATATATCGATATATATAGATTTAAAGAGAATAAGTGGAAGTCATGAATAGATGGCCAGGTTTAGAATTATCTTGTCTAGTTTTTGATTTCTATCTGGAGTGACAGAGTGAGAGATTTGTTGTGCTTGTTCAAAAGCTCTGCGGTTATTAAATTGCAAGATAAATTCATGAATATTATAGCATTATGAGTAAGAAAAAGTGTTTTGTGTATTTAAACGTAGAATATGTACTATCACCAGAAGTCTCTATTAAAAAAAAAAGACGAAACGTTCTTCTGGTATGCTTTAGCGTTACACACAATTTAGAGCATTGTGGAGTAAAAACTATAAGCTTCACTGGGAGGATTTAGAACGAATATAGCAAGAACACTCATACGAGTTTTGAGCCCGCGAACAAGTTATTGTTAGCACATTATACCATAATTATTTAACCCTGACATCGGGATATTTCGCAATTATGTTTAGTTTACACCGGCCCGTTTGCGGTCTTACTTTTCGTTCATGCGACCAGTCTCGTGTAATCTGTATCTGTCTGCCTAGATGATGGATCACATCACTCAAGTTGGCGACGTGTTTATGGAAGTTCTCGGCACGAAAGCCGACCAGGGCAAAGAGGTCTGCATGTTCGAGGCGACGCAGGCGCTCACCATGGACTACATCGGCCGGGCGGCGTTCGGAATCGACACCAGTTTTCAGAACGACCCGAAGAATCCATTTCTCGTCACGGCACAGCGAGCCTTAAGGGACAGCATGACCGGACCTTTCCACGTGCTGGCCCGTAAGCTTGAGTTTTTAAGTGATAGCATTATAGGGAGCTCTGCACGGACCTCGCTTGCTCATGTTGATAATGGTCGCACCGTACTAAGACCTTGGGAGAGAGTCGGCACGAGAGCGCAGCTGTAGGCTTGACGTCATAGCACGTACGATCAATAGCGTTGCGCCGCGTAGATAACAGGGTGTAAGAGGTGGGCTAACGTTTCCCTCCTCTCCGGTTTTCCCCGTATCGTAGGGCTATCGCGCCTTCATTAATTTGGGCTATTGCGCCTTCATTAATTTGTTGAAATGTCTAAACCAGGCATTTTTGTTTTTTCGGTTGTCAATCTGGAATAGACTGTTTTCTAAACCCCAGCAAGCAACATTGGTAGTCAGCATTCTCATGGGCACGAAGTGTGTCATTGGATCCGAGTTTAATTGGAATGCTAACCCAGCCTTTGTGTTAAATACATGTCCATTGGTTGTTCCAAACAATTCCGGACCCAAATATATGGCGCAGGTTTTTCTGCGTCACCGACGCCGGCTTTTCTGCGACACGAGTATTCTTAACACTAGCGCATTAAAAGCACGTTCGCTCGCTAAACCGGACGAAGAGGCTGGAAATATGACCGTAGTGAACCGCCGTTTCGTACTTGAAGAGTGACGCGTAAGGTTTTGGACCAGAAAGATAGAAGGGAGTTTTCGTAGACTGTGTTTCCCCCTCCGCTAAGCCCTCCGCAACTAAGAAGCCTTTACTGCGCCTGCGTGCCAATGACTTGGACTGAAGAGTTCCGTGTATCATAGCGGGTTGCGCAGAGCGTTGCGGGACGGCGAAAACGATCTAAGAAAGCTCTCTAGTAATATGCGAAGGTCAGCGAAAAGGTCCGAGGCTTACATCTGCCGAAACATGTTTATATATAACTTAAACAACCGGAAACATCTTCTGCATAGTGGCCCGGTGATCAGTGCCGTCGCCTTCTGGAGGCAACGTATGCGTAGTTTTAGGTTCGAGTCCTCCGAGGTCCATGCTTTTCTAATTTATTGTCTTTGTGTTTTTTCATTCTAACGCACATACGCATAGCTTAAACACGAATTCATCATCTCAGTTTTTTTTAATTCTTTGTACGTTCTTAGTGCCTACTGTAGCGCCACAGTGAGACATATCAGCTCTGATCTACGGTGTGGCCAGATTCGATTGGTCGCAGCGCCTGAAACCTATAGTCATTACGCTCAACACGGTATGGTCAGGACATGGAGCAAAGGGCCAGCATGTAAACGCAGATCATCTTCTTTAGAACATGTGTTAGCACTTTCTTTTCACGTTGTAAGAAGTTTAGTTGTGAGGGAGCTAGGTACAGAATAGCAAGGACGACTGCGTCGGAAACTGCTCTCACTGAATCGCTTCTGCAAGCACTAAGAAGATATGATGCATAAATATAAAAGCTTCCCACGATGAAAAAGTGTTTAAGCATGCGCTTGTGCGTCAGAAATACATAATATAAGGAGCAATAAAATGACATTCCCCTCGAAGAGCTTGAACCTGAATCTACGCGTGGGTTGCCTCCAGTACGAAGGTCATGACCACTCGGCCACGATGCACTCCCTATTTCAGGTTGTTTAGGCCATGTTTAAAAATATTTCGCCAACCTCTGCCTAGGACCTTCTTGTTCTCCGTTCATTTCATATTGCTACGATCTTTCGCGGCCAAACCTTTACCCGCCGCTCTTCAAGTATGCTACGACGGTTTATTTCGGTCATATTTCCAGCCGCGTCGTCCTGTTTCGGTGGCGAAATTGCATTTTTGTGATCGAACCGAGGATGCGTTTTTGCACACGTAGTTTGATGATCGGATCGGTCGTGTCCGTACCGACCTTGGGTGCCAAAATGGTTCTTTAAATCTATCTAGTGTTAAGTCCCGTTTCTCTTCACCATGTACACCAGCGTACACTACGTGCCATGTCAGGCAGTCTGCAATGATCTCCGCGCGCCACGTGACTTCAAGTTGTCCAACTGGAAGGTCACGCGAACCCTCTGATGCCACTCCAGTGCGGTGGCGCTGTTGTCGGCACTACGCATGCGCAGAAGCGTCACTTCTACCTGACTTGTTTGATGAGCGCGTGCAGTGACCACACCAGGTGTTGGGTAAACTCAGGCCTGTTTGTAAAGAGTGTGGTGGTGTACGTTTGTTGTATGCAAGTTTGTTTACTTCTTGTACAGCGGTTGGGGTGATGTTACAACACCGTGCTATGATTGGCGTTGATTGAAGGATAGTGGGTCGACCTCAAGGCAGGTTGCTTCGAGGTCTAACGACTATCCTTCAATCAGAGTTCGGAGTTCTTAAAATTTTTTTACATTTCATTACCCTTGCAAAAGGAGCAGACGAACTTGCGCTCCTCATAGTTTCATATCTTGTTCTTGCTACGACATAAAACGTTTTCTAAAAGTTAAATACTATACTGATTGTACCTTATGTCAATCTGATATTTGTGGGATTTCCGAGTGATGCAGAAAAAACGCTTTGTTTTTAAATCCTGAAAAAACTAAATTGATTACCTCATCGAGAAAGCAGGACGTTTTCTGCTACCCTTATGTGCCTGAAGGGAATCTGATAGATCATATATCTCTGGTGAGGGGCCTTAACGTCTATATTGACTGTACTCTATCGTTTGCTGCGCACGCTTTAAGATAATTGTTTCACGAATGAGAGACTTAGGAATGATCACTTGGTTATCAAGTTCTCTCACTTCACCATTATTTGTAGTGCGTCTGGTTTGCAGCTTTGTGCGCTCAGGACTTGAATTTGGTTAAATTAGTTAAAGTTGACTATCTTTAACACAAGTTTAAATGATTGAGCGTGTGCAGAAGAAATTTAAGCCAATTATTTTTGACCAACACATTGGTTGGAAACTGTTTTTTAGTTACGATTTGTTGCTGTTTTCATTTAGCCATGAAAGGCTATCAACGTGGATGCTGTTGGAGACATTTATTTTCTTCATTAGGTAGTGCATGGTACTGTTAAAACTGAAAGTTCACTTATGAATACATACTTTCACGTGCCTTTCAGAGCTAGTCACCATTTTATAATATTTTACTCTACTAGAATTTGTGAATCATCTTCACTATTCACGTATGCAGTCTGCCTTTAATATTAAATGCGACTGTGAAACATACATATTTCTGGATTTTGTTAGTTTCAAGTCGACCTCGTAGAAGTATATCTTATCCAACCAAGGGTTAGCGTAAGGTTGTAGTTGCTCTTCAAACATGTATTTGTGTCCTTACAAATGTATGTGTGATTTTGTGCATGTTTCTATTTTAAATAGGGTTGCTGTGATCACGAACTGACAGTGCACCACACAAAAGGCATTACAGCTCCTTGTGGGCACTAAAGAAAAATAAAACATTAATATTATTAATATTATCATTATTTTTAAATCGATGCTGAACCGAAATTTCCAGCTCAGAAAATTGGGCTGGAGCGATAGTCAGGACGCTGCAGAACCCAGAAACACCGCTCATAGAGCGATATCTCTAAATGGTAGTTATATTTTCAGAAAAAAAAATGCACAACTGAACATGGCCGAATGTGCCGACGAGACATGTGACGTCATGATTTTCATTCCCTCTCTTCGTCGCATCGGTTCACCAGCTCGACGGGACGATTTTCATTCCCTCTCCTCCTCGCTTCGCCCCGTCGAGCTGGTGAACCGATGCGAGCAGTAGAGAAGAGAGGCCGCTTCCCCTCATTCTCGAATTCTCCAGGAGGATCGCGACGCCAGAGTCTTCGCTTGATCGCCGCCCTTCTTTTCCAAAAAAAAAAAAAAAAAAAAAAATACGGCCATCCGTTTAAGATTTTAATGTACGAGTGAGGTTTTAGAGTTTGTAGCGTGTTCAACCCTAATGCGGCCTTATTTTGCGAAATCCAAATTTCGGTTCAGCATCCCTTTAAGGGTGGCGTATTTAGTTTAAAAGGTCGTTGTGAAATACAATTGCACACGATTCTAAATTTAAATAAAAGCAGTTGGAATGAAAAAAAATGTACCCTTTCATTTTCTTGGCAATATAGGAGAGTGTGATAGGAAAATTATTGTCTACCTATTCTGTTTTCGACTTTGCTGTATATACAGGGTGTTCCACGGACGGTGGACAAATTCTATATTGAGAAAACTACGTATCGCACCATAAAAAGTTTGTGTCGTTTTGGTCCTAGGCGAGGGGCCTATTTAGAAAAACTATTAAAGTTAAACGTGTGAAACAGCATTGTAAAAAAAGACCTAGAAATAATTTGTCAAATAAACTACATCTTCACTTTTTTCCTGACATCGCTAAGAATGTCAATAGGGTGAATTACGACACCCTGGCAATGACATCGGAAACTACCAAAAGACGAAGGAGAGAATAAAACTGAATTAAACACATACATTTTTATTAATGCAAAATGTCATAAATACACGTACATAACATAACGTTTTACGAAATTATCACGTATTGATAATGAAATTAATGCGATGGTGCAAGCCAGCTGGGCAAGGCTAACAATAATAATTCTTGGAGAAGTGAACAAGGGGTAAAAATGATAAACACAAATCTCTAAACAAAGTCAGGTGACTGGTCCGCGACTGAAACAATCCGCCTGGTCCTGGTACAAAACCAGGGACCTCTTCATTCCCAGTGGAGCGCTCTACCAACTGAGCTAACTAGGAGTTAGCCTTCAGTACAGCAAACGGGTCTTAAGAGCTGCCACCAGTTTGCTCTACCGACGTCTAGATCCTGGGTAGCTCAGTTGGTAGAACACCACCCACCTCCCTGTGTTTGGAGATTTGTTTTTGTCCTTGGTCTTCTTTGTTTCCCTTCTCCAGAGATTATTATCGTTATCATTGTCCAGCTCACCTGCACCTTTGCATCAGCATAAGCTTAAAATGTAGACCGTTCAATTTTGTTGGTGTTAGACTGGTTGCAGCTGTTAAAACTCGTTCGCTCTACTGACGTTTAACTCGTAGTTAGCTTAGTTGCTAAAGCGCGCCTTTGGAAATAGAGGTCCCTGGTTCGATACCAGGACCAGGCGGAGTTTTTCCGTCGCACACCAGTCATATTATTGTATTTGGAGATTTGTGTTTGTTCTTTGCCCCTTCTTGTTTTCGATCTTCAGGGATTATAATTGCTATAACAGTGACGCATTTGAAATCTTGCGGCTAGAAAATGCATGCAATTCAGGAGAGGTGCATTCTGCACCCGAATCGGACATACTCAACTCAGTTCCACGTTTGACCTTTGTCTTTTATGAATGCGACAGCATTCTTTAGCTACTTCATCCGGTTTTCGCGATATGGAATCCGACCTCGAATGCCCGCGCATTCACAGGCGGCTCGCGTATGCAGACCGGCAGTACGCACTCCTTCCGATTCACTCCCTCTTCGAAGAACATGACGTCCTCTCGATGTCGGTGTGGAGGTCGTCCTTGATCTCGTTCCTTATTCCAACTTTTAGGACGTCGTCATAGACGTCGTCCTCTAGGACAACGTCCTAGGGTACGACGTCTAGAACGACCTCATGACTGACGCCTAGGAGGATGTCAATAACGAGGTACTAGAAGTCGTCCTTGAGACTGCCTTCGAGGTCGGCTTAGAGGTCATTTTTGACGTCCTCTAAGACGTCGTCCTCGACGCCGTCCTAGCAAGCAGATAGACCCGCGCCTCGCATACACAGAGCGGCAGTACGCACACATTCTCACTTGCGCCCAAGCTACGAAGCAATTATTGTTTTGAATACATGATCAATACTGGTGCTAAAACTGCTTGAACATTAAACGATTACACAAAGACGGGATAAGATACCCACGTGAAGCTGTAGTGCTGTGGGGAAACTGTTTGAACATTAAATGATTACATATAGACAGAAGATGAAATGATAAGGGATGCACGAAGCAATCACTCAATTATCGAAGTTGCGCGCTGCAGTCGCTCTGAATGCCAATGACTGCGTCGGAAATTATTATAAAATAAAAAGTTTTCTCAAACTTTTCGTCGTCGTATTCACAGGGTGCTGCGTCATGAGTCTCATGGTGAATGCTATTGCTATTCATAAACGACCGGCAATAGTGGTTTCTGGAACCGATTCCTTTTTGCAGATTGCACAACGTCGTTTGGCGTGCTGGCTGCCCCGATCTATTGGCTGAATGGGGTATTTGGGACGTCCTCATTTATTAGAACCTCTGAAAAAGTGGCGAAGGTCATCGAGCTGCGCAAGAAAAACCCAGGGGTAGGTTCGCATTCTTCTTGGCAATTTCAGTTGAATACTGAGCTTAAGAGGATTGTTATTTTAGCCAGTGGCCCTTCTAAAACAATCTCGTGGAAGCATCGCATACTTTCAGGAGGTTCCGTTTTAATTCGCTCCGACGTGCTCCGATTATCTTAAGTTCTTGAATAACAAATTTTGCGTGATCTAGGAAGAAAACTATTTAGAATTATCTCGACAGTTTTGATAAACTCAAGGAGCACACACTGTGTCGTGTGTGCATGATCCGTGCGTTAGGATTTGTTGTACTTGGTTACGGGCGATGTTTGGTTGTTTGGGATTCGTTTCACGGCCGACACGATTATGTACTTTACGGATTTATCAAAATAATTGATACACGCTTTAATTCATTCAGGAGTGGGCCAGCTATGCACACTGACTGTGCACCTCCTACCACAGGCTCACGCGAGTCATGGTTAGGTCAGCTTCTTTTCGCCTCTGTCTCATGGTTCAGAACAAAAGCGATGACCTGCGGATCGCATGGCTTCGGTTCGATTTTCTCTATGCCGCTTGATAAATTAGTTTGTTGTTGGGCGAGTTGGTGAACGTTTGGATACATGGTTTGTTTTTCTCTCTTGTGTCCGTCTTTTTTGCACAAAACCATGTATCCAAACGCTTGGTAAATGTTGTTAATGTAGATTAAGTATGCATAAAGGTAATTAAGAATAATTAATATGATTAAAACAACTATTTTTGGTTCTACGTACACCTTCTACATGGTGTTTATGATTATGACTTGCCCGCAATGAGCATGAATGCTTTAGAATGCCTTGACTTGCGTTTAGCGCCTTTTAGTTACAGTGAGGATAACACTTGTCGTATGTAATCCGGCCCTTAATCAAATTTTGCAATGAAGATGTAAGGGCAAAAGTTTTGATTTTGATTCCGCGCTGACTTTAGGTTCGCTGTTTTCTTCATCCCATGAGTAGACCACACCGAAAGGCGAGTGATATCCTTACCCAATGATGCGAGTTAGACGCTTGAATTGGTAATGCGATTTCGTAAAGATAACGTTACAAACAGATGTGTAAAAACAACAATGAATCTAAAGAGGCCGTTCTTCGTAGACCTCAAAAAATATATACATATTTTCGGTTGTTTGTTACAAGTTTATTCAGGATTATTCAGAAGCCCGACAAAGAATGCTTCACATCCAGTATAATTGAGAGTGTGGTGTACGTTCTTATTAATTTTGTAACTATTTTTTTGTAGCTCCGAAAGAACGATATTCTCCAGAATCTCATCGATGCGGAGTACGAGGAACAGGCAACAACTCAGACGTCATCGAACAAAACCACGAACACCAACGGGAAAGGTACACGGGACGATAAATTATTGGCTTTATTAAGCGATTAGCATATTTAAGTCGTATGCTTCTGCAGTCGAACATCACCTTCACGTGGGAACACCGATTCTAGTACCACATTTGTTCGATGCTTGAGTTGTCGTTGAGACGTGAATTTTGAAAAGTGTAGACGGCTTCTTGAATATCACATACTAAAGCGTTACGCCAATTTTTTTATATATTTAAAGAAAGGGGGAGGGGGTGCAACGATTTCCGGTCATCTCGCCGTAGTTCCTTCGGCTGCCACTCGCGGCTGCAGTTGGAGAAAAATGCTCTACTTTTGCTTTGCGATTATGCAGCAGAATCGCGACATTTCTAATGAAGGAGATGTTTTTTCTATCCTCCGGGACACGATAAACAATGTAAAAATGACAAGATGCAAAATATTTTAACCTTAAAATCGTTGCACCCCCTTTTAACTTTTATGTCTGCATTCAAAATTTGCGGTCATGTTTTTTTTTTAATGTTTGAAAGCAATCAGAATCTTTTGTAGCGCCTCCTTGTCGACAATTCTAGCACTCCAGAGATACAGCTCAATAGAAGAGCCCAATCATAGTTTACTGAAATTCCCATAATTTGGCAGGTCTTTCCAAGACCAGGAGGCTATCATCGGAAGAAGTAGTCATAAACACCACTCTCTTGTTCATTGCAGCGTGAGTTTGAATACATTGATTTCTTTTTACTTCATTTAATGTTTTATCGATTTAAGGAACGCGTCTTTCTTCAGTCATGAGAACACAAATGTTAGACCAAAGGTATCAGCGTTTGCCGTGTTTTTATTTGGTTGCATTTCAAACAGTGGCGTTCCGTAGTATCTATTTTTGTGGACTGTCATTCCATTTTACGTGCGCGCATACCTGATATTGTCAGCTTCTAATCTTACCAACCTTAGTGTTTCGCTACTTTAAAGAAACTTATGAATGCATTACCAATATTAAGGTCATTAGACATGGTCTAATAAGTTTGTAGTCTAATAAGATGGACAAGTGTTATTCAATGATTCGTTCTATTAGACGCAATGTTTGTATGCTTCGTGTGTTACAAACAGATTTATGCTGGGTGTATGATTTTAAAACAAAACTGTTGCTTCAAATATATTTATAGTTTCTATGTTCAACTGCGCAGTCTCTAACAATAGGAAAGACCGACACTACAAGGAAGCTTTAGGCGGCTGTGCTACATTAGTTTTGGCCAAGACCCCATTGCTATAGAATATAAAAATATATAAATGTTTTTTCTATTCCCTTCTCTAAAAATATACGGTCTCTAGCCAAAACGTGCGTAGCACGACCGCATAAACTGCGTATTCAAATTAATTGGTCATTTGTCTTTTTGTGTAGAACGCACTTAGTGTTTATCTTTGCCAATTTATTATGTGTGACGCCGAAAGAATATCTTTCTTACAGGACGAAATCAAAACGCTTAAGTAGTATATAGTCTAAAAAAAGTTAGAGTAGGGATTCTATTAAAGTACCATCTTTCTTAAATACTGAGCATGTGATCTAAAGTCTGTTAAAAAAGACTGAATTGTTGCAAAGAAACAATAGAAATATTTACAATGAGTTTGGGCTTGTTACCCGCAGATTTGAAACCACTGCAACAACTTTGTGTTATCTTATGTTTGCTCTCGGAAAATACCCGGATGTGCAAGAGAAGGTCAGACATGAAGTGAAAAGGGCTTTGGACGACTCTGTAAGTTCTGCTTCTATTTGAATAGAATCTTTAGTATTTGATCAATGTTCAGGCATTTCAGATACTCTTGAGAGGTTGTTTTCTTTGAACAACTTTGAAAATTGTGAAGCCAATTTCGTTTTACGTGCTGGCCATTTTGAATATGGGGCCAGAGTCCAAGGATTATCAGTTTGGCTTCGGATTTTATGTAATGGGCTGTATTTTGGGATAAAGCAGACGTCTAAACTACGCTTAAATTATTATGCAGGATGATCGTTAGCTTTTTAAAGTTCGCTTTTACTATTATCTAAGGTAAGATCTCCGAACGATTTGGCTAAGGGTACCGGATTTTGGATCTGTCGCAGCCTCGATGGCCGGAAATTATGTAAATAACTAAAATGATAAGGAATCAGATAAATAAACCTAGAGAGGGGTTTAAGTACAAAAAGTCAAGGTAGGGTTTAAATATTCTGAAGTTGTTTAATAAACGGATTTTACTTTGAAGTTCAATACTTTCTGAATTATGACATATATCAATTGTGAACCAGAAATATCTCTTTAGGTATGGATACAAGTTAAGAAGAAGTTTAGTTTATTCACACAGGACAGAAGACGAATGAGAATGGTAGAACTGGTGATGAGACTACGCCACAATTCTTACAAAGGACGCTGAACATGTATATACACGAGAAATCAAAGGAATTTCAACATAGGAGCACCAATATAAAACTGGTGGCTAAGAATTGTGATGCTGGTGGTAACAACGTGCAATATATGAGGAGTTCTTTTTTTTCGAAAGGAGCCAAATTAATGAGCGAAACCGAGATAAAAAGGAAAATCTTCTTATCGGACTAGCTTTGAGCCTTGAACCACGGCCGCCTTCACATTTATTTTTCTTGCATAACATGAAAGATGTCAAATTATTATCATAGGGAAACAATGAACCCACAGATATACTGCGAATTTCAGCCTAAATTTGCTTAGTGTCGGTTGCTAAATTTGGCTCATTTCGGAAAGAAATGCTCCTAATTTGTCACGAGTGACAAATGATGAGACGGGGATTAATTCAAGAAACTAAACCTTTAATGGGGTGAACTTGTGCCCAAAGCAAAATATAGAAAGGCTAGCGTCGCAGGCATCGATGTTAGCGAAACAGCAGGATTGAACGCTGGGGCGAGACTGACTGCGGCTCGCCACGCGAAGCCCCTTATAAGTACACGCGCTGGCTTCTGAAACAATCGGCGTAGAAGGTTCGAGGCGTAGAACATTAGGACCTTCGAACAATCGACATGGTTCTGGAATCTACCAAAACATTAAGTTAAAAGAATAAATAAAAACGTTGACTTCCAGGAAACGAAACCTGGGCCTCGGCACGAAAGTCAAGCGCGGTAACCCCACCACCACGCACGCGCGCGCTCGCCGACGCACGTATCAATACGTACTATGTTATTCGCCTCGAGACACAGTTTGAATTTATGTGATTTTTCATGGAATTCATGGTTCTGTATGAGGCATGTGATGATTTCCTTTGTCCCATATGTGAATGGAGACAAACCATGCACACTAAGGGTACAGGGAACGAGCCTTTAGCAGTTGATTCCATTGCAGGAGCGTTTCATTAGCGCGTCCAATGGCTTCGACCTCGCGTCCGTAGGATTGTTCCGTCTCTCGAGCTCCTTGGCTAGTAGTTGTGCCGCACGCGCCTATCTTTCTTATCTTCTGTGCGCACCGCGCAAATTGGTGACTACTACACCATTGAGCCACGAGCAGTGTTGTAGGCGTTACCGAAAAAAGTAACGAACTACGGTACTCGTCACTCGCAAAATAAAAAAAAGGAACGCGTTAGCGACCTACGTTACTTGAAATGGTGCGCGTTACCGTTACCGATAAAAAGTAACGCACTTTACTTTTGTGAAATTACGGTCAGTGCGCAGGCGAGCTTGCGGAAGTTCACCACGATGTTTTGAGGAGACGCAGTCTGTCCTTGTTACTTTGTCTTCCACTGTAAACAAAGATAATAATTTCGTCATTCTGCTTTAGTCTCGGATTAAAATCATCAGGGTTACTTTTGCGTTACTTTTTATTTATAAATTGACGGTAGCAGCGTGTTCTTTTTTTGGTGACGGGGATTTTCGATCTTGGAACAAAGGGTGTGAGCGTCGGAGTTTTTCTAAACTGGGCCTCTTCGCGTGGGGAATAGACGGGCAATATTTTGAAGGTATGTGGAATGAGTGCACTAATTATTGACTTGGAGCGTATACTTCGCTTCAGCTTAAGTTTCGACGCAGCCGACGTACGCTACGAGCCAATTAGGCAGCGTCAAATGCGCGAGTCACTGTTTTTTGTTCGTTTTTTATAGGTTCCGCGATGATAGAACGCGCAGACGAAACACGGGTAACACCATGATGGTGCCCTTTTGATGCTGTCTGATTGGTCCCATCTGCTCGCAGCGTCGTCTGCGTTTGAACATAAGGTGAAACGACATAGAGAATAACAAAAGAATTGAAGTGTTCTTTTTTTTCAGGTCTTGGGAAGCAGGTGTAACGAGCAACGTAACTAAGTTACCCGTTACTTGAATTAAGTAACGTTAAGTGCGTTCTCCGTTACTGTTTTTAAAATGTAACGAGTACGTTACTACGTTACCGAAAAAAGTAACATGTTACCGGTAACGCTGTTACTTTTCACGCGTTACCGCCCACACTGGTCACGAGAAACAGACCCCTTCGAGAGGCAGAGTTAGCAGTGTGAAACCGCGAATATAGTAGGGTGCCAAAACCCCCACGGAGAAAGATGCGTATGCTTTGTCTTGAAATAGAAAAGGCGGCATGAAAATATGAAAGCCGTTTACAATTCCCTGTAACGCCGGTTAGAGCGCAGCTCTTGAGGAGGAGGATGGAAGCGTACTGAGGGATAGGTGACTCCTTGAGGTCACGTGACCTCAGGGAGGGTCGTGTGACGTCAGGGGGGTCACGTGACCTCGGGGGAGGGGGTCACGTGACTTCATGGGTTCTCGTGACCTCAGGGGGGCCCCGTGGCCTCAGGGGGGCCCCGTGGCCTCAGGGGGGTCCCGTGGCCTCAGGGGGGTCACGTGACCTCAGGGGGGTCACGTGACCTCAGGGGGGTCACGTGGCCTAAGGGGGTCACGTGGCCTAAGGGGGGTCACATGGCCTGAGGGGACGTGACCCCCCCAGGTCACGGGGGGGGGGGGTCACGTGACCTCGCGGTTATACCGACGGCGACGCTGACGCCGCTCAAGCCGGAAACGGGCCCCTAAGAGCTGCGCTCTAAGAGAAGCGCTCGAATCCAGTCCGGCCGTGAACAAGAGTATATAGTTCTGCTTTTCCCCACATGAGCCTTGCCGATCGAACCTCGAGGTGAATGTGACACAGTACCATCTATTTATTTATTTATTTATTCATGGTACCTCAAAGGCCCAATTAAGGGCATTACATGAGGGGGGGTACATTCAGGGTAAGTATCAATCAGAACAAAAGAATAGAAACAAAGTCAATAAAAAAAATAACAAATAAAAAAAAATAAACCACACACACAGACACGCGCGCTCCGAGGAAAAAAAAAATCTTGGATTACAGGGAAAGAAAGCAAATGCAAAGCGAAAGTATGTAGATAAAAGAAAACGGATGTCAAAATGAAGTTATAATGCTAGCATGCGCGACAAGAACCCAAAAAGTACTGATTCAAACTAAATGATTACAAATAATAACAATGACAATACAAAAAATTCACTTTGACGCAAAAATGACAGAGCAAAAAAGGCAATAGAACAACAAAACAGCAATTTTCAGGATGCAGTGGGAGATCACGGGGGAAAGAAATGATTTGAGAGGGCATTGCGAAACATTTTTTTATCAGATATGTTGACGATGGCTTCGGGAAGACCGTTCCAGTTCTTGATTGCGTTAGGAAGTGCTGAGTTATTAAATGCGGCTGTGGAGCCAAATATGCGTTTGAAGCTTTTGCTGTTATTTTGACGATGAGATACTCTATTCGGTGGTTCTAGAAGTGATGAGCCTGGTTGACCGGGATTAAAATGTAGACGATGTAGCAGACAAAGTAGTGCGATTAGGCGGCGAGTTTCGAGGGGGTGAATAGAGTTGTGCTGTTTAATGAGTGAGACGCTAACAAACCGAGAATAAGATGATGATATAAACCGAGCGGCACGGTTTTGGACAGATTCTAGTTAATTAATTAGGTACTTCTGATGGGGATTCCAAATAGGCGAGGCGTATTCGAGTTTAGGGCGAACGTAAGTATTATAAGCTAGATGACGTAAATGGGCGGGTGCGGCCTTTAAGTTTCGTTTTAAGTAGCCAAGAGTGCGTGAGGAGTCAGCGGAAATTGTGTTAATATGAGTGATCCAGGAGAGATTAGAAGTAAGATGTACACCGAGGTACTTGTAAGAAAGGACAGAGGGGAGGGGAACATTATTTAATAAATATGTGAAGGACGAGACTGAACGCTTTCTAGTGAAAGAAAGCATATTACATTTAGAGATGTTAAGTTGCATTTGCCATGTGGTACACCAGTCAAAAATTATATTAATATCATTCTGAAGGACATCATGGTCATGTGAATTGTTAATGTTTCTGTACAACACACAGTCGTCAGCAAAAAGTTGTATGGTAGATGACACAGTGGCCAAGATCGTTAATATAGATAAGAAAAAGAAGGGGCCCGAGAACTGTGCCCTGTGGGACTCCAGAGGTCACATCAATAGTACAAGATCGAAAATCGCCTGTTACGGTAAATTGTTGTATAGTGGTTAAAAAGTTACGGATCCAGGAAAGTGTTAGTGAATCTAAATTAAGAGCGGAGAGTTTAGATATTAGGCGACAGTGGGGAACGCGATCAAATGCCTTTGAGAAATCTAAGAAGATCGCGTCGGTTTGAGAGCCAGAGTCCATATTGGTGTGAATGTCATGGGTGAATTCAAGTAACTGCGTCTCACACGAGTATCCTTTGCGAAATCCATACTGACATTTATAAAAAAAAGTTGTTATTTTCAAGATGGGACACGGAATGGGAGAATACTATGTGCTCTAACAATTTTGACACTACACTGGTTAGGGATATGGGCGATAGTTAGTTACGGACGATTTTGAGCCAGATTTAAAAATAGGAACGATCTTCCCAAGTTTCCAGTCAGTGGGAACGCAACAAGATGACAATGATTGTTGAAACAGTAGGCACAGTATGTCGGATGAAATGGCACTGGTGTTTTTTAAGATCTTTGAACATATGTTGTCGGTACCCGATGACGTAGAGATATCAAGGGTATTTATGAGTTTATTGATGCCGAGACTTGTGATTACAATGGGGGACATGTATGAACAATCAAGGTCAGTTACAGATGGAATGTTGGATTGGTCTTCCCTAGTGAATATAGATGTGAAGAATTCGTTAAAGACTGTAGGACAGAGGGCATCACGCACTGGCTTCCCCGCTTCATCTGATAAGGTTATTGATGATTGTGATTCCTGTGGTGATATTACTTTCCAAAATTTTTTGGGATTATTTGTAAGAAGAGAGGGCAAGTCGCAACCAAAGTACTTTTGCTTAGCTAGGACAATGGAAGAATTGTATTCGCTTTCACATTGAGCATACTTTACCCAGGCCATGGGAGCATTGCAATTTTTGGCAAGGCGATAGAGTCTTTTCTTTTTATTGCCTAATGCCTTTATCGTTTTGTTAAACCATGGTTGATTACTGTTAGAGAAAATACGAGCCAGTGGAACAAAATTATCAGTGAGTTGAGATAGTTTAGTTTTAAAAAGGTTCCAATTTTCCTCGACTGTTCTAGTATTAAAGCCATCAACGTAAAATTCATAAAAAAGGGAAAGAGCATCGTTTACTGAAGCAAAGTTGGCTTTATTATAGTCACAGATTAACTTGGTCGTGACCTGTTTTCTCTCGGTATGAATGGTGATGTCAATGTTTATTAGTTTGTGGTCACTGAACCCGCTATGAAAAGATACAGATGTAACGAATTCGGGAGTAGATGTAAGGACTAAATCCAAAATATTATCCTCACATGTGGGATTAATAATTATTTGTTCTAAGTCGAAGTTTTGACAGACGTCTAAAAAGTTTCTTTCCTTTCCATCTGGTGAAGTTAGTGTGGACCAATCTATTAGTGGGAAGTTAAATTCGCCAAATAAAAATACGTTTGCATTTGGGAAATCATTGCGTATGGAATAAAGTTGGTCATGAAAAATATTAATGAACTCGGAAGTACTGTCAGGAGGGCGATAACAAACGCCCAGGATATTCTTTTGGAACGAGGAATAAAAACCAATCCAAGCTGTTTCGATATCACCATCAATTGGAATGACGTATGATGGAATTTCTTTTTTGACTGCGATCATCACACCACCTCCTCTTTTGTTTATCCTATCGCGACGGTAAAAGTTAAAGTTATAACTGTTAGTCAGTACTTCTTTATTTTGAATTTCTGGTTTTAGCCATGCCTCCGTGAGGATGACGACATCAGAGTCATTATCGTAAAGGAACGATGATAATATATCGCATTTTGGAATTACGCTTCGTATATTTGTGAATGATATTGAAAGTGAAAGGGTGTTAGTGACATTGCAAGAAGGGGCCGATTTATTGCAAGGCAGTTTTGTAGGAATGTTTACCCTTTGCTATCTTGATAATGGTTTCACAGAGTTCGAATCAGAGTTGTAGACATAAGTAATGTTATCAATCTTTAGTTTGTCGAAGGTTAATTTAAAATGAACATTTTTCGTCTTGGCGTACTTGATTAGTTTCCTTCTTGCATTGCGGATAGGGATAGAAAAGTCCTCTCCTACAGAGAAGGGCGTGCCTTTCAATTTAGGACCGGAGGAGAGGATGCTATCTTTGTCCTTAAACCTAGAAAACTTTACAATGATGGGGCGTTTTTTCTCGGTGGTATGCCTTTTAATGCGATGGGCTCTTTCAATATTATCGGGGTTAATGCTGATGCCAAAATGGTGACTACAAAATTCTAGAACCTTCCTTTCTGATGCAGCCCACGTTTCGCTTGGTTCGTCTACGATTCCATAAAACAGCAGGTTAGAACGGCGAGATCGGTTTTCGGCGTCGTCGCATTTAGAGGCCATATCATTCAATTTTTCTGATAACGTGACCAAATTTTCGCTGGAGGGGGTGTCTTTGTGCAAGGTTCTGTATTTTGTAAGTTCGGCCTCCAGCGCGGTCACTTTTGCAGATAGCTGTTTTATCTGTTCGTCCGCGTTCTTCTGCTGTTCTTTCATGGCTTTTATATCTGAAAGAATTCCCTCTTGCCCTTCCTCTATTCTATTGACGGTATCGAGTATTTGCGTTTGTACATTGTCAGGAGCACCGGGCCCGGGGCCAGGGTTGGATTCAACGTCGCCTGCTAACAGCAGTCGCGAGCGAGACAAGTAAGAGGCGAAGAATGATTCAAACAACAAGCGAACACGCTTAGAAAAACCTAGAGTGTCGAAGGGGCATGACACCGTAACTACGGAGGAACGGTTACAAAAGCGCGTGTTCTTATAACTAACCTGGAACAGTAGAAGGGGTGAGCGTTCCATCTTGCCGGTGTCATGCCCCGAGAAGAAATCGTTGATGGCTTCCTTATATAGGGTCCCGCCGGTTGTAGATGATCCAGGTTGTTAGGGCAGGGTTATCCATTGGTCCAGAGCCGGCTGTTGTGTTGTCGTGACGGTGGTGAAGAAAGCGAAGGAAGAAGAGGGAAGAGGGAATCTGCTAGGAATCTGAACGGATGCGATGAGTTTGCGGAGTTTCGCGGCGCAATCACTTTAGGCGCGCTTAGTTTTGCGCCGGTTGCATCGGTGGAAACGAACAGCGGGTCGGGAGTCTTTTCTGAGGACTGCGAGAAGCCACGGTTCCGGTCGAAAAGCCTCCGCCGGTGGGATCTGGCCCGGGGGAGGGCGGGGTTTGGAGACCCCTGAATTATGGTAACTGTCGATACTGGACTCGATCGCTTATTGTGGAATAGAATAAACGATTAAACTGCCACATGGTGAGAATACGGATATTTTCGTATTTATTGACGTGAAGGTGAATCACGAAGATATGCACAACATGATTATTTCTTTTAAATTAAATTATCCTGCATTTTAGCCTGAGGAGTGGTACTGCAGGGGATTGGTAAAATTACTTTCGTAACCTTGTCATAAAATAAATTCTATAGACATATAGATATAAATAAACTCTAATAATTAGATTCCACTAATCGAGTTTTTGAGTCAGTAAAATATTATTTATTAATAACTATTCCCTAATATTCACCAGTAAATTATCTAATATTTTTATTGGGTTATAAAGCAAGCGGTAGAGAACCAAGTTATTCAATAATTTTAAAACTACATTTTTGGGCATAGTCCATATCAGCCTAAGAAACGCATGCCGTGGCGAGTACCGCGCTCTTAATACTATTATCTTAACATCTTATTTTATTATCTATCACCCCTTCATTATTCTGCAGCCAAAGAGCCGATAAAAAGGTCAAACAAGAAATCACAGAGCAAGAAACATAAATATAATAGGCAACGCGCTGCGCTTATGAAGTCGTTAGTAGTAGTTACTGAAAACTTAAGATACGCGAAGCTGCTTATTAGTTTGAGTGTTAAACAACAATAACAAGTATTCGAAACAATTATTTTCGAGGCTGAGTCATTTCTTTTCTTTTTTAAAGCAGTTTTTGACTATTGGGGCGTTAGCCATGGTACAAGCATATCCCTAAAGTCTTCTTTGGTTTTGATATATGCTATGTAGTAGTTTTTGAGAGACGATACTCCTTGCGAATTATTTTACCGTTTTAAAGTGAAGATTTCTTTAAGGGGAAAGCCTTATGACCCATTACGCGAAAAGGCGGAGTCGGCGTCGTGCCCAAAAGATGGCCATAGAAATACTTCATTAAACACGCGCCGCTCAAGGTCAAAGCAGACGCGCCTCCAAAATAAAACAATACAAAAAAAAAAAAAGAAACACAGCAACGCAGATGCTTCGTCACGGAAACCGTGAAGCTGGCGGGTGGCGCTCAAGGTTAAAGCGAACGCGCCTTTGAAGTAAAACACAAAGAAAAGAAAAGCAACGCAAATGCTTCGTCATGGAAGCCTCCATTGCGCAGACTCACCTGCGCACTGGGGGAGCGTGATGTCACCACCGGAGAGCCGTGTGCAAACATGGCACGCTGCTTCTAGGAATGCGTTCCTATTCATACACGTAAACAGTCACAAGTGTCTTCAGTGTTTTTTTTAATTTATTTATCTCATATTTTTATAATAACCAAACATTCCAGAGAGAAATCTTGCGGCTTTGTTTCTGTGAGTTTTGAATTTCATTTGTAGGTATAAGATATATATTAGAAAAAGCCGAAACCCGTCAGCCGTAGTCATATATTGTTTGGCCATAGCTTTAGCAGAAAGATCTGACATCCAGGACTGCATCTTCAAAAAAGGTTTCATCCTTAAAATTTTGAGCTCAGGTCAGCCTGAGGTGTAACTTATTTGATGTATGCATTCTAGGTAAAGATCTCAATGAAAAATACCCGATGGTGCTACATTTAATGTGCTAGGGTTAATTCCCTTTTGATAGAGTACGAAGAGAGGATCTGAAGTGTTGGTTGTAAGCAAAATTTTATTTGCAGGGGTCACTAGACTACGAGACAGTTACCCAAAAACTGAAATACCTGGGGCAGGTCATCAACGAGACAATGCGTATCTGGCCTGCTGCTCTCACGTAAGTATAGAGGCGACTATTTAGTTACGATGTCGAAAATAACAATAAATAAGCAGTTCTTTAAAAGTATGGAAAGCTTTTGAAAAGGCGCTTATCCAATAAAATTCTCCGTCTGTCTATCTGTGCCACACCCCGCTAAATTTGGCGGGAAAACTGACGTCCCCTGACGCCACTGCATTCAGTAATACCACGAAGTGGTACCACTTTGTCATACCCCGTGACCACGTCGAGTAATGTCGGGTCACGAGACTACTTTCCAACCGAATATAGAGGGGAAACTTGGTAGAAGTTCCCGTTATATTTAACAGGAAAATTGAGGTGGCGTGAAATAACGTGCTATATTACCCGAGGACACGACGCTATCGTGATGTAGGGTCACGTGAGGTAAGATAAGGAAATGATAATTTTTCCCCTAATGTTGGCTGATAACTTGATTTAAGTGACCTGACGCCATATGACGTCAGGATATTACCACGTCAACATCTGCTACGTGAAACTCTGATACTTAAATCACAGGTTTACCACAAGGCAAGCAAAGGAAGATTTTGAGTACCAGGGCATCAAGTACAAGGCTGGGACATGCATCATGTCACCGACACTTCAGATTCAGAGGGACGAGAGGTTCTTTCCGGATCCCATGAAGTTTGACCCTGAGAGGTATCATTGACATAAACATTTTTGGTGGTGATAATGATAAATATATCTCAATTTTAGAAAGTATGTTTTACTTTCAGATTTAACATTAGCGTTGTTGAGGGAAGGCGTAAAATATATAAGTATCTTGAATTCAAAGAGAAACTAGATTTCCGCCGTTTCCTGTACTGTGTACAACATCTCCTATTCTAGTGGTATGATTTTCAGTGGCATCTTGTCCTATTTTGAGGTACTTAGAAAGTACTATTTGCCCGTAAATGTTCCCAGGGTGACATAGAGAAAGCCAAAATACCGCGTAAACATTACACAAAAACTTTATTAACAAAATGAAAGCGTATAACATAGATAAGGACAATAGAAATCACGTTCACATTTGAAGCTTTCTTGGAAGATCCCCATAAAAAAAACAACAACAAAAAGAAGAATCACGAGTAAGGCAGCGCACTGTGATTAAACCGTCATTCCATTACGATGATCGGGTAGCAGTTCTTTTGTGCCGACTGCAGCCTGAACGTTCAGATAGCATTGGTATAGCAGTTTAACTAAGTTCTATCTCGCTTAACGCACGCTGGGTTAATATATTGCCGCCCGCAGAGCCGAGAAGGCAACGCTTGGTCACGGTCTTCTAGAAGATTCCCGGTCATTCTCGCAACAGATGTAACTTTCCCTCTGCTTTGTTATTCTCGAAAGTGCCAGTTCATCCTTACCCCGAGCGCGCGACGCTCGAACCTTCTTTGCCGAACTTTCGAGATAGTGACGCACGGTAGATAAGCAGCTGCCCGCGACCTTGTCGAGTCAGTTTCAGTCTCGCCCCAGCGGTCGACTCTGGTCTTACGCCGACTTCGACGCCCGCGACGCTCTGTTATTATCTTTTGTACCCTTTTATTTTTGGCACAAGTTCGCCACATTAAACGTTTATTTCTTCCTGTTTATTTATTGTTTTTTGGTCACCACCCGTGACAATATGATGATTGACACTCCCTTCCGCGTTTCGCTTATCTGTTATGGCCGAAGATTACATATGGCTCAGGCCATTACATTTTCGCATCACGCACTTTACTGGGAACAGAAGAGTTCAATTGATGGTTTGTTTACCAGAGGTGCAGGAAGGCCCCTCTGGTAAATGTAACTTGATGGTTCCCATGCAAACCAGAATGCTATCTCCGTGCTGTTACTTGATGCTAGAAATAGCGCTCATCTGGTTGATGCAGTGATGACTTCGCTCTATACTGGTGAAAGAGTGCCAGTACAGCGATTAGTTACGTTCAAGTCAGCGATGGATCACGTTGTTTATTTTGTTGAATTATATATGAGATTTTTTACACCGAAGCTGTTTACGGCTGGGGTTCAGTGAATATTTTATGTGCGTCAATAACAACTCAGATCGCGAAATTGATGCAAAATCGCTTCATTCTTTGCAAGAGCTTATGCCTCTCATCACTTGGATATGCATTTTCAGTAGATTATCAAAAGGCACCATCTTCACGCTGAGTAGACTCTCAGGTAGATAAGAAAGGTTTCTCAAAGATATGCCGCTGTGCGACCCGCGTGGGCCATGTCTACGCTCGCACCGGTTTCTCTTTGTCGCTGTTCCAAGCTCCTCCGTCTCTGGTTTCCTTTCCGTCCGCCTTCCCGGGGTGGCAGTCCCGTCGCCCGGGGGCGGTCCTGTCGCGCGTGACTAGTTTGCCCGGTTCCTCGGGGCGGGTCTGTTTCATGTGATGTACAGCTTCGCTTGTCATGTACCTTCACAGAGTGGAATGGCTCATTATTTTTGTTGTAAACTTGACTTTCCTTAGTCATGATATCTTGACGTAGACGCCATAAAAAATGCGGACGTCTCCGTCCGCAACAAGTACCGATACCCATAGACAATCCCGTAAAAGGTACAAAGGTCACTATCCTTATACATTGTATAGCATCTGTGCAAAACTAATGGCGTTCTTCTTGAGATTGATAAAGAAAGAAGTTCGAGATACTATCAAGCGATGGATCTATGAGGCCTGAAGGTTCGAGATGTTAGTACTACCCCAGGCACGAATTTGGTACAGCGGCCAGGTAAGCGTTTACGTAAGGATGTGTTCACATGAATTTTTTGGTTCATGCTTATCTCTAAATATTTTTGATAGTGGAAGTTTAATCATGAAGCTTGTGAATCGTCCCTGTTTAGTGGTTAGCATTTATGATCGCAGCATTGAAACTAAAACAAATGGGAAAAGAAGTACGTGGTGGATCGCAGAATTAATTTTCATCTGCATTACGTGTGAAAGTTAGGGTGCCCAATGAAATACAGTTTTGATGATCGCCATTGGATCGGCGAAAATGAAACTGCTTTTTCAGCCATCGGATGGCACTGAACTTAAAAGAAAGGCGAATTGGATCATCAATTTTGTGTTCCAGGTTCAGCGAGGAGAACGAGGATAGCTTCCCGAAGATTGCTTTCCAGCCTTTTGGGATAGGACCCCGAAACTGTTTGGGAATGAAGCTCGCTCTCGTCGAGCTCGCCTACACAGTTGCCAGAATGACTCAGCATTTTCGTTGGGAACTCGGCGAATCGCAGAAGGCAAGTTTGCTCCTGAAGCGTTCCTGCGGTGCCATGATAGTCATGTGGTGTCAAGGTTAGAGTTAGCTATTTAAAGAAAAAAAAAGGATCAAAGTTTTTGATTTTGACCTCGTGGAGATGTTCAAATCCTGGGGCGATTGCCTTATCATCAGGATTACATTTTACCAGGCACGCGTGATTTCGTGTGTGAATCTGACCAACTTGATGGTCTGGCTATTGTGACCTATATGTTCCTTAAGTTTCTTTTGGCGATTTCAACGACGAAAAGCAAGTGTGCTATTCGGTTTGATTGTTTAACACGCAAATATGTTAGACTTCTTGAGGGGCAGCATATTTGAATTAAGTGGTTGTTTTAAAAGAAAACGCGCTATTTTTGCGGTAAGAGCCTTCTTCTAGTGAGTGTGTAAGAGTGAGAGGCATGCAGCATAAAAAAATTAGTGTAAACGATTTCTTTTTTTTTTTGACTAGGTGAATGCGCGCATCGACCAGACTAGTCATTTCGTTTATCTTGGGAATGCTCAGTTTCATGTGGTGGAATATACAAATGATCTCCTAGCCCTTTCACAGGGTGTTAAATTATTCTAAAACTAATAACAAGTACCTGAGTATCATCTTCTGGAAGGTAGCGAAATTGCAAATAAGGGTTCGGGTTGGCTTTGTTCGATTAGCTTCGAACGTCGTCCTCAGATTCATGTTTCAACGATACACTGAATATGCGGCGGGGATTCGTTGGTGAAGTGTTGTGCCGCACCACGAGAAATTAAGGATAGGAAATATGTGTGACCACCGTCAAACATACGGACGTAAAAATGACCAAACCCTCGCATGGCGATTGGACGATTGGGTTCTGTTGCCACGGAAATCACTGTTTGGTCCATTGAAATTTTAGAAGGTTTAAATAGGCGCTCTGAACAAGCCGCGCGATGTTTGCCATGCGTTATCATCGTACTGAAAGCGTTCTTCACCAAGATAAGTGTCATCAGAATTACGTATACTTTCAACATATCAATCATGTTCATCTCTTTATATCCTCTATAATGATATCACTTTTTAACGCGAATATAAATAGAGTAAATGTTATTTTTTATTTCCGTCAAGTACCCATGATACATGCGGTGGCGGTGCGAAGATGGGCGTTTGTCTTGTCGGTGTATGGGTAACGAAATATCGGTATACAAGAAATGCGTTCATGAAGTAGCTTCTCGGTGAGATTTCGCATCGGCTCACCAAGGATTAGAATGTGGAGGAGAAACTACTAATTTTATGGACTAAAATGGCGACATACGCGGAACTTGGTGTTACCTTCAAAGGAACCAGTGACTTCAAAGGAACCTGTGACTTTAGATTATTATACTAATTGATAGCTCAAGAAACGCAAAGTAAGTCGTGACCCCATCGTCTCATTAACCCTTCACAGTTCATTAAATTGTGGCGTTGGTCGGCAAGATCAGTAGAGCAAAAATCATGAAATCCAGTGGCTTTAACATTAAACAGAAAATAAAATCTCCGCTTTCCTTAAGAAGTGAAGCCGGCAAGAGGTGCAGTAAATTTGTGTAAGAACGTGTCGGCATTCTGGAAGTGTTTCATCGGGCTGATTGTTTTTGTGTCTATATTTTTTGTCTCTTGTTAACGCGGTTTTTTGCAGGAGTAAATTCTCAGTTGCCAGTCAGGGTTGTGCTTGTGCGCTCCTTAATCTAGCTTTCCGTTTTCTCTCGGACTGTTGTTTTTCTTTTTTGTTTTTGTGCACATTTGAAGAAGAAACGTTTATTTCCGATACGTGTATGTTCTTAAAGTTATTAAAATTTATTTTAACGTATTAAGCTATGCTAAAGCAACTAGCCGAACTCCACAATTTGTTTCTTAAGCAGTCAGTACCTTATCAGCGCCATATGATTTGCTGCGCTTCCGTGATTTTTGAATGATTAGCTTTCCTCTAGGCGTCGCGGGAACATATCTGCGTATATTGCCCTCATAGAAGAGAGACCATATATATTTGAGTAGATACAGAAACGACTTTTTCATTCTTCATTTCAGGGAGAAATAATGCCCATCGAGCAGTACGCCATGGTGTCCACGCCAGCAAGTGGGCCCTGGATTGTCTTCCATAGGTTATGAACACAAATTTTCGAAACGCTAAATAAGTTAATATTCTCTGATTGTTCAACAAAAACCCATCTGCATGTCACAAGTAAACTTCAGCGTTCTGATTTAAGTACGAGGGTTGTGTATGTATCTCACATGTTAATTGTGGTAAAAAAAAAATGTACCAACAGGGCCCGACTCGGTCTCCTCCCACCTGCAAAGCACAATTTGCGAAAATTCGCAAATTGTGCTTTGGCAAGTGACAATAGGTTATCCGCTAAATTTAGCCGCAAGATGTGACGTGATAGTTTCATCCATGGTTCTTCGTGGCGAGTTTTTCATGAAATTCGGCTAATAAACCACAATCTGTGTTAAAAGGAACAACAAAAGGGGTCAAGCGAAAAGAAAATGCGGCGACAATCTAGGCAAGTGTGTTGCACACGTAAAACGTTCTAGCATAAAGTATGTTTAGGAATACTCCGGGTTTCAAGACAGCAGACGCCTACGTTCAGGGCGCTCTTCATCATATAGTTTACCGCGTACCATGTGTACACTTGGACGTTGCCCCTAGGATGAAGCAATACTGCCGCTAATCAGGCTGATAAACCTTGCGATCTTCCGGAGCCTTGTGTACTCGCGGGCTCCTTTTTCTCGGTGCGCACAGGTGGTCGAGCTTCTCCTTGCGCACCTCACTTCTCCTCGCCTACATCTCTGGTCACATGACCTCCATGGTAACCAATGAGCGTCGAGCATCTAACTCCTTTTCTCCCACCCGTCAGTAGATCTGTGTCATGCCTCGTGGTCACGCTCTTATCTGGACATGCAATAATGCCGAACATTGACGAATATTGACGGCAGCCAAAGAACGGCGAAAATATCGCCAGCCAAAGAACGGCTGACGATTAAAAAATGCCACAAGAACGGCGAACGTGCCGATAAAATCAACTTTTTTATGCAGATATACTAGTGGCTGCCTTGACAGAGTTCTCCGTGTCCTGAATTTAAAAGAAGCTTTAGACGTCTCCAAAGTTATCAGAGTGTTCCGGTATGTCGACGATTATTTGATTGTTCTAGCTTCCGATGATCGCAACTTTACCACCATGGTTATCGACGTCTTCGACAGTTTTAAAGTCTGCATGAGCCCAATGGAAATCACTCAAGGATTTCCAAACGAACGCTCTTTAAGATTCCTTAATCTTCGACTCTTCATGTTACCCCGCCATTCATGCTGGCACTATGAGTCTGCAGGGGGACAAAACCGCTATTACCCTTCAATTCGGCGCAGTGAAAACGCGTTAAGAAAAGCATCGTGCGGTTATGCCTTAAAAACTGTCTTAAAAAATCCTGCTCGTATTCCATCCCAACGAGCTTTAACGGGCAAGTCTCTCGACTAAAACACGAAAGATATCCAATCTCCGTATTAACATCAGTTGCCCAAAAGCTCGTCAACGAAGGCAGGCAAGACGTCTGCACCCAACAAAAGCAAAAAGATGAAACAAAAAAAACCATCATTGGGCCCTATATTCAGAGTTTTGCTCACGGAATGAAGTAAATACCTAACCGAGTAAACTTGGAAGACATGCTACCAGCTCCTAACAAACTTCCCAGCTTGCGCAGAATAGTAAATACCCCCTAATTACAATTATCGGCTGCAAAAACAAGCAGAAGAACACCTGTGTCCCTTGTACAGAGAAGGGGGTGTACTGCTTTCCCCTCTCTCGCGGAAAACTGCACATAGGTCAGACCGGAAGGTGTCTCAACGATCGCCTTCGTGAACAAGAGAACACATTCACGAACAAAGACTCTAGACATTTAGGCATTCACTGTCGAGATTGGCTGCTCAGTGCGGCTGAGCAACTGCACTGTGCCTGGCAAGCACCACAACCAGCTAACATGAAAAATCATTGAGGCAGAAATTATCGCAAAACATGACGATAGATGTCTTAGTACTCCGTCTTTGAACTTATCACAAAAAGAACTAGATTACCTAGCCTTGCATTAATTTCAATTTAGTTAGTTTTCGGGTGAGCTTCCCATTGAAAAAGAAAGAACAATTATTCTGCCTGGCCCTAGTCCATAATACAAAAAGAGGAGGAATAAAAAAAGTGTAAATATAAAGAAGAGAGGTGTTAGTCAGCGCTGTGTGTCTCCTTCTTTTGTGTGCGTGCACTTGAGTGACTGTTTTGCAGGTGCGCTATTCCCCTTGTGCATCAGTTGCAACCAACTCACCCAAACCTGTGTTACCATGTTCTCTAAAACACTGTGCACTCAGTTTCATTGTACGATGTACCGCAGAGGACGCTGCAGACCAAAAGAACCAATCGAATTCCTTGTGAGCGTCGCGTGACCTTGGAGAGTGGCCTAGCGAAGCGGGGAACAAGCAGTCGCATTTTACTTCCATGGGGTTAGTTTGACTGGGATGGCTTGAGGCGTCCTTTGCAGTCAATTGTATAAGCTATAACAGAGTGCTTAAAACGAGTAAGAAGCATAGTGGCGGCTGCAGCGAAGCTTTATCTTTTGAAGTGAGAATCGTCTTAAAAACTTAAGTATGGCAGACGCGAAGACCGTCGTCAACAAAACACGAAGTCTGTTCTCCTTATTTACGAAAACGAAAAAGGGACATGGAAGGCAAACAGAAAACACAGGTTCTCGGTGGTCTTTGTGTGTCTTCTTCGTGTCCTCGTTTTGTTCGCGATTTTTAAACTTTTAATTTTATTTTCTACACGCGGCGGAAGTGCCTGTATCTTTGGCTTTTTTTTTGAAGCGAAGTACAAGGATGGTGGAAACCCGAAGGTTTTATTCTGGAAAAACAGCACTTTTGGATCGCCGACGGCAGTCAGAATATAGTCAGGGGCCTGGGCGGCAAGGCATGCGCTCCCGCGATTGTCCGTCTCACGCGCGGAGCGCGTGGCGGGTGTTATGTCGGGTTCGCTAAAACAAACACTCCGTGGCGTCAACATTTATTGCGGGCCAGACTA